CCGCCGGTGCCCTTGCTCTCGGTGGTCGGCACAAGCCCGAGGAGCTTGCCACCTTGGCGGCCAACACCAGATTCTCCAGGAAGGAGATACAGCTGATTTATCGTGGTTTCAAGCAGGAATGCCCGACTGGACTCGTCGACGAGGAAGCCTTTAAACAAATTTTCTCGCAGTTCTTTCCGCAAGGAGGTGAGTCTTAAAATTAGTAGGATACTGCTTTTAGCGAATTCGATGATATATGTAATCTAATATCAAGCGATAAAGAGCAGACACTAGTTTATCTACACTTTTAGATGCCAGCCAATACGCCCATTATGTGTTCAACACTATGAAGAGGAAACCGTCTGGAAAGATAAGCTTCGAGGTGAGGTCGTTCTCGAGAAGTTTATCGATGTACCAATATCGTTCTACAGTAGCACCGCGTTTATCTTTGTTCAGGAATTCCTCACCATTTTATCTAAAGTGTCGAGAGGTTCGGTGGAGGAGAAACTTCAATGGGTATTTGGTTTGTACGATCTAGACGGGGATGGGTTGATCAGTAAAGAAGAGATGTTGGACGTGGTCGGTTCCATATACGAGATGTTGGGGCGTTACACCCAGCCACAAATAGTCGAGCCACATGTGGCTGCCAGAGAACATGTTGATCGCATTTTTCACGTAAGTAAGAACAATCGATTCCTCGAGTCGCTTCTGCTATGCTAAATAATTCGATCGATTTTACGTCAAGTATAACTGCTCTTTCTGTTCGTAGTTAATGGATGCGAATAAAGACGGCGTGGTGACAATCGAGGAATTAGTACAATGGTGTTCCAAAGACGAACAACTGTTGCGAAGTCTCGACACCCTTGACACCGTCTTATGAGATCTTTATTATTATTTTATAATTCTTCTTCGATTCCCAAGAGCCACAGATCCTCTGTACATTGTATCTTGGCGCTCGACCGAGTTCTGTGTGTAGTTTCTAAACAAAATTTTCATCTTCGCAATTGCAGTCGACAGGAAGAAAAGGAATTGGACTTTGAAAGGAAATTACCGTCTGAACTCGTCGAACGCTATTTGTAAATATGTACTTACCCCACCTACCCTAGTCTTTCAAGCGTGCTACTCAAGGCACGATAAAACCAACAGTATTATCAAACCTCTGATACAAAAAATTGCCAATCCTCGTTGCGTCGAATACTCCGTTATGTCCGATGGATCACTCTGTGATTTGTTACCTCTAATGCAAAAAGAAATATTTCAACAACGAGTATATCTTATATAATTTTGAGTCATCCATCGAGAATTCTGGAGTAGAATCGATGCGGCGGGAACAACTCGGCCCCTCGATTTATTGAAACTATGAACTTATTTCTACGCTTTAACGACAAATTTTAAGAGTTTTAACAATCGTTAAGGCGTTATTTTAACATTGATTCTTGACCTCTATATTTGTTCTAAAAAAATTAAGCGATCGTGATAGTCAACGTGTTGATACGCGATGCCAACTACGATCAAAGATCCTTTCAAGAATGAGCTTTTATTATCATCCATTGTTCGAGGCTGTTATAGTATATGGCGTTAATTAAAAACATTTGTCTAATACCTTTGCACGTTGCATCTATAGCTTACAAATGATTCAATGCTCGTGAAAAGGATCAAATAGAAATAAGATACAGTTTATTTTCTTGTTCTAAAATCATTAGCTATTAGCCATGTGCGAATAATATTTGACAATCTTTTCAAACTTGCCTTTTACGTGAACGAGTACAGAAAGGTTTCCTCGTTCTTGCTACATTCTCTTCGACTCACCCGACCACTTATTCTTTTCAACTATTTTAACATGGTGATTATTATCGACAGGAGAGTCGCCGTGTTAAAAGTTGTTAGAACAAGTTAATACCGAGCTTCAAGGTTTCCGCATATGCTCGTTCAATGGATCATGATTATAAGTTTAATTATACCTGCAATGGCCCATACGATGGAAAAGTAGTTAGTAACCCAGTAATATAATATCGTAGAACCCTCGACCAACTAAGAGAAACGTGATCTTGCAAGATCAACGCCCCTTGTGATTCTCTCGTACCTTACTATTTATTACAACTCTCGCGTAAAGAATTATTGTTATTAAGATGATTACTATTAACCTGTTTATCTATCCTGTAAATTCTAAAGCGAACCCTTTTATGCGTATGAACATCATCGAATTTGTTGAATTTCTCGAGTTTATTAAAAACCTGTATTGTAATTGAACTTCTAAAAAAACGTTATTACCTGAGCGTGCATGTAAAGAAATCAGTTCGATCATTTATACATTTGATTGTTCTAATAATGTGCCATTAAAAGCATTCAATATGAATAAATGAATGCTTGTTACAATGGATCCACTTTGGAAATCAATTTTTTCCAATAGTTGATGTTCCATATGTAGTGCAGCTTAGGCTTCCCTCAGTTAAGGGGAATCGTATGGGAAGGGGTGTCCCATCACTCCTTACTTCTTAGACATTCTTTAGACTTTAGGCTGACCTTACATTTTCCTAAGGATCTCTCAAGGTCGAAAGGTGGGAGACACCTGCCCTACTTTTCCCCTTAACTGAGACAAATGTATCGTTGCACCTAAATGTATAGTAGTATTTCTTTTGCATGAAAACATAGGCGATAGCTCATTACTTATTTTATTGCAAAGTATTCTAATTGTCTTTCGAAGTAACTTCAACATAGTTACTGATGATGAACGCTTTCTAATGCTAACTTTAATTTATCGTATTTTGTGAAATAAAGATATTTAAAAACCATTTACCGAAGATTTTTATTATCTTACCTACACAGTGGCATGATAATTGACGAAATCGAAATGATAACCGTTCTGCTTTTCATTTTTTTAATTTTTCATTTCTGTAAAACATTTAAAATTTTGGATGTATCGAACAGTGGCGCTGTAGTCTCATACATAATATATAGGATATGCACTTCTGTTAACTGTCTATTTTCTATAGTTCGTTTGTTCTATTTAAAGTTTGATAAAGCAATCGTTAAAAGTATTCTAAGTCGAGAGGATGTGTGAAAGTAATGCTTTACAAAAAAAATGTATACAGTTAAGGAAAAAGGTGTAAATATTCGATACAATGTCATGCAATATATCGCGTAGCAATTAACCATATAATTATATCTAGTATTATAATTTTATTTTTGAAAATAAATTTAAAATGAAGTTTTAAATAATAGTAGGGCTGAAATTTAAATATAAATAATAATGGTACGAATAAAGTGGGCATTAACGAATGCTCCAAACATTCTTAGGTAACTTACTAATTATATCATAAAAGAGCAACTGCTTTATCTTTAAATGCATTATTGTAATCTTTTTCTGTTACTTATAGGCTTAATTTGAAACGAAAATGGTGGAACTTTAAAATCATTATTAAATCTTTATTTTATAATGACTTCTTAAATTGGAGCTATGTCTGCGATATACTTTTAGAACCAATGTTTTGGTTCGTAGAAAATTTCACAGCCTGCCTAGGGCCGGTAATTATTTTAATTACATTATCTATGATTTATATGCTACATATTCTCATTAGGAAATTTAATATTGTTTACAATGTATTTACTAAGCTTGGCAGTTCATAGGTATTTGTAGTAATGGTAAGCCTTTTAACTGCAAGTATCGTGTACATTGCATATTATATTGGCTTACCATATTGGTGGGAAAAGAGTCCATCAATGACAATAATCCTTCTTTTGGTTGGAAATTGGCTGCTGATCAATGTATGTTTTCATTATTACATGGGTGTAAATGTTCCAGCTGGTTATCCACCTCAAGGTAGTCTTATTCCAGAGGCTGTGAGTATTTGTAAGAAATGTATTAAACCAAAACCACCCAGAACGCATCACTGTTCTGTATGTAATAGATGCATCTTAAAGATGGATCATCATTGTCGTATCCTTTCACAGAATGTATTATATTTTTTATTAATTAGTATGTCATCAAAAAATGTATATATTTTCTGAACAATAATACAGCATGGTTAAATAATTGTGTTGGCCATTATAATCATAGACACTTCTTTCAATATATGGCTTTCACTGTAGTTGGTATTCTATTCATAATGCTATTTGGTGTTGAAATAGCATATCAAGAATTTTTTCCAGCACAAGAACCAGAATTAGATGGTCACCCAGTGCGCATTAATAATTCAGAGATAATTCCTGTGGTAATCATAATAATTTCATCTGTAACGAATGTCATTTTAAGGTAGATTCGCTGTACATGGTATACTCATTTTAGACTGAATCGCTAGACCACTTAAGCGAAGAAGAATTAGCTGAAATAGCTAAACAGGCTGCAGATACAAACACTAAAGAGTGGAAACGACGACTTATAGTGTTTGCGGCATTAATCTGTGTCGCTACTTTTGCCGCGTTAGGTGCTTTAACATGGTGGCACGCAGGTCTTATCACTAGAGGAGAAACGAGCATAGAAGCGCGTATAAACAGTACGGAAACACAAAAGTATAAAGCACTTGGTAAAATGTATCAAAATCCATATAACTTTGGACCAAGAGAAAACTGGAAACTATTTTTAGGTGTCATTGGCAGGTAATTATAAATTGATTAATACATTTTAATGTAATTAATGTTGTTTAATGCTTCTTTTTTACAATAGGAGTTGGTGGCACATATTTTTTCCATCAAATCACGGACCATATGGAGATGGTCTTACGTGGAAAACTATTCACGATACAAAAATATCTTGAGTATAATTCTTATGCCTAGAAACGGCAATATTCGCATTTGGTTTTTACAGTCATGATAAAGTCGCTCTTACAGATTTAAAAATCTTTTAGTCAAACTATATCGCTGTAACGATACAATATTACATCTAATTCTCACTTTGCATACCTTAAACGATGTAACGTATCCCGAATAACAAATATCAATGTAAAAATTACATCAGTTTTTCAAATTTATAATATCAATTATACCTAATACGTATATATATAACAACAATTTCAGCGCATCTACAAATATGTGTCATGTTTAGCTTATATTGTTAAATAGTATTATCATTAAATATATTTTGAATTTTTCATGGTTACATCAGTCGAATCATTCGCTGAAAAAATAAAATTTTTTATCTTTGCAAAGCAAGGTGTTCATTGATATTAAACAATGCAAGTCATGACCACACAGTGTCCTCGATCCAGTTAAGATAATGCGAAACCCTTGTGTATACCCCAGGTGTATCAATAAGTGCACAACCTTGTCCAAAACTAGTAATACCTATTACTTGAAAAAGGCATAAATTTTGAGGATGAATTATTTGTAATGGACCTCCTGAATCTCCTTGACAAGTATCTTTGTTCCAACCACCACGAGGATCTCCTGCACAAATCATACTTGGTGTAATCCCATATGGTATTGCTATTGATTGATTGTGTCTTATTGCACACCCTATGTTATCAACGATATCAAGAAGAGCCTTTTGTAATTGATCACTTTGTTCCTCATCATCTGCAAACATTTGAAGTTCAGAATGTAAAAATGTACTAAGTATGATTTGATATTTTTTGATCTTACCAAATTTGGTTACACCCCAGCCAGTAACCCATGCTTGAGTAGGTACAGAATCGTATAGTTGATATAAACAGGCAGGTCTTATTTCTTTATTAAACGTAATAGAGGTATTTAATTTTATAAGAGCTATATCTGCATACATAGCAGGAGGTTTATAACTTGGATGACGCATTATCTTGTTAATCGTAGTTGTTATACCATCATTATTATCTTTTAAGTTATGGAATCCGATACGAACATCTGTTGGACTTCTATTTAAACAAAATTAATCATTCTTAAATAGATTGTATCTTTAGAAATGATCTACAGTAACAGATAAAATATAAAATAATACTTTGGTCCATAAGTACAATGTGCTGCAGTGAGTACCCATTCTGGTGCAATAAGAGTACCGCCACAAGTAAAAGTAAATGCACCCTCTCTGGTTTTTGTACCCAGAGCAACCATGTGAGGAAATTCACCACGAGAAGCATCAACACCTCCAACAACAAGTCGATTTGCATTCATACATTTCTTATTGGGTACTTTGATTGATTCTGGATTTGAACCCACTAAAGACAACACTTCTGCTGTACCCCAAAATTGTCTTCCATATTCTTCACACTCTAATACACACAAAATTATAAATGCTTAATATCGTATTAAAAATGATTAATTTTTCCCTTGAAAATACTTACTGATTTCTGACTTTGTTCTGGTATCTATATATGTATTTATTTCAGTTGTAGTTTCATTGACTAATACCTTACTTGGTACAAGTATATTAACATCTGAATTGTTTAAGGGAATTATATTACTAGTGTTATTTATTATAGAGTCACCTTGTAAGAAAGGATTATTGATATGAACAGCAATAGTAATATAATTAGTTTCAGATGCTGTAACATTTTCAGATGATTTATTGTTCCCATGTTTATTTTTTTCACTACCCTTATTAGGGGATGATGACTGTGGCTTTAAAAGATTTGATAAAAAAGGATTCCCTTCATACTTTGTTGGTACAGTTATGTTGTCCTTTTGAAGAAATGGATTGTTATCAATGTTATCACTTAATTTTGGTGGATTAATTTTCTTCTTTTTCGAGTTTCCTAAAAATACATTTAACTAAATATGATGCTGTTACCAGAACACAAAAAGTAATTCTATTTCAAATACTGCACATAATGTTTTAACATAATTAAAAATAATGTAAATAATGTAAATAAAAAATAACATAATTAACCTGGATTTTTCATAGACAGAGCGAATGTTATGCTAAGTAATATAAATATTGTAAAAATAGCAAGTCGATATGCCATTACTATAACTTAGGCATTACTGTAACTCCGCATTCTTCGTTTCCTCAACAGACATTTATACAGCTCAAGTTCAAGGATAATCATCTACTGCTATCTGCTTAACTATAGATATTTATTTAGTAGTCAGATGGTGGGGAGGATATAGCGGGGATTCAAACAGTTCGACTATTCGCTGAATAAATAATTTAATAAAAAAAGAACGCATAAACTTAATGTAATTTTCGCATTCTTAATCCCCGAAACTTTTACCTTCACTTTAAATATGAATCACGGAAGAAGATATTCTTACTCACGCTCACCCGCTTTGTTATGTGCCGTGTACGAAAAAAGATTATTTGCGTCAGCGATAGAACCATAAAAATGCGTGGTTTCGTTATCGTTAATGTCAAGTTCTCATCTCCTTGTTGAAGAAATATATTTATTAAAAATACTTTTAAAGATACAGCGATCTTATTTATAGATGTATCGCATTTCTCGTGAAATGCAAAGTAAACATTCCTTCAGTTTACTGAGCATTTTTCTAATGTATTCCCAATACACGTGCCTATACGACACATTTCAATAATTGCAATTAATGTTCTACTGTCGAACAGCTTTTCTGAACAATTATGTATTATTATTTCCATTGAATGTTTTATTTCAATACATTCTAAATATTATATAATTACCAAATCACAAACGAAATATCCTTCTTCTATTTGATTAAAAAATTTTCAAAAAAGGAACAATTGTAAATAAACAAAGGAAGAGAAGCGTTGGTAATTATTCTTCCAACAATCAATAGAACAAAACAAGTTAGCTCATCGATACAATTGCTTAATTAGCTATTGCTATTAATTATCTGGACTCTGGTCACTTATATTGCTGCCAATCGTGCGCTCTGGATATTATCACTAATTTTTTATCACGGAAAACTGCCATATAAACAACAGTGTAAAGCATATATATAAGGATCATTGGATAGAACTAGGTGTCCAATCTGCCAATTGATAAAATGCTCGCGTTCAGAGTTCATTTTGTCTCGTTCAAGATGTTCTATCATGCGATTTTCTTCCTTTACTTAATCGCTCAGACCTGTGCGTCGTGTTTAAACACCAGGAGTGCAACGAGGATTGTAATCATCGGTTGTGGAGCTTCTGGTACCGCAGCTGCAACCAAACTGATGTCAGATGGTTTCTATAATATCCAAATTCTGGAAGCTGAAAACAGAATCGGTGGACGCGTAAACACGGTCAAATTCGGTGAGATTATCTTAATTTCAAACTATATACATATGCATATCTCAGAATTGCTCGAATGTGAACTGATACTTTCTTTTGCAGATGATTACTTAGTCGATTTGGGCGCGCAATGGATCCACGGGGAAAAAGGAAACGTCGTGTACGAATTAGTAGCTGATCTCAACATAACTGACCACTCGGAAATGTACACGGACGAGGTGTACACTTCCTCGGGTCATTTACTCGATCCTACGATCATGACGAATCTTACACAAACTTTCATGAACTACATAGATGACATGGAAAATGTAACGGCCAGTTGTGAACGTTCTGTTGGCGAATGTTTTGAAACCAAGTAGGAATCTTCATTATATAATTCATGTTACCGCATCATGACTGAATGAAAGAAAAACGAAGAGAATGTTTTTAGATAAACGTCTTGTAATCATCACGCTTACATTTGCCGCTGTTACTTTAATGATTCAGACAAAAAAACTTACTACCCTTATTTCCGACATTAATTTGAAATAATTTTGCATTAGGCTGAAACAAAAGTTTGCACTATTCCCTGAATTAAATGAGACAATACAGGAGCAATTATTATGGAACTTCAATATGATGCAAACGAGCCTTGATCCTGCCGATTCGTGGTATGACATTGCAGCAGAAAAATACACCGAATACCAAATATGCGAAGGAGATCAAGCAATAAATTGGAAGGAACGAGGATACGGCACTATCTTAGATATACTAATGGTTTCCACAAATTGTTATTTAAATTTTATATACCGTAGATGTTTTATTGTTATATACATAGCAATTTTCTGTAGAAAAAATACCCAGATCCGGCTAACGAGTTACCCCTTTTAAACCGAACTAAGCTTAATACAGAAGTGACTAAAATTGATTATTCGAACGAAGATGGAACCATGAAAATAACAACGGATGATGGAACAGAATACGTTGCCGATCACGTAATCGTGACAGTTTCTTTAGGGGTGCTTAAAGCACAACATGAAACGTTATTCAATCCTCCATTACCAGAAAATAAAGTTAAAAATATCAAGGTATTATTTCGTTTCTTAGTAAAATTGATATGAAAATTTCGATAAAACACGAATGGAAAATTTTGTTCTATCTAGAGTTTGGGATTTGGATATGCTGCTAAAATATTTTTAGCATTTAATAGTACTTGGTTTAATCCTAAAAACTTGAAGAATGCAGGTTTTAGAATACTATGGACTAAAGAAGAAAGGGAACAATTTAATAGCAAGGTAAGTGATTTAGAATAAAATGTAATTAAATAATTTTCGGACCCACGTTAATTTTTTGTAGCCTAACACAAGGTGGATACCTCACACGGTAGGAATTTGGTACGTTGAACATAAACCTCGCTTATTGAGCTTATGGATTTCTGGAAAAGGAGCACGTCTAATGGAAAACGTCACGGACGAGGAAGTACTTGAACAATCCACGATGATAATAGACAAATTTTTATCAAAGCATTATAATGTTCAGAAACCAATAGCGATGATAAGGTAACGCCTTTATTATAGCTACTGCATGTTCACTCTTGTCCCGTAGATAAACACATTTCATTGTTTCCAGGAGCAAATGGCACCAAAAACATTTCCGTGGCACATATAGCTTCCGTAGTATAGAAACGATAAAAATGAATGCGAGTTCGGCACAACTGTCCGAACCAATCATGAAAATGGAAAAGCCGGTAAATTTGATATAATAAATAAAATTAAAAACGAATTATAAGACTTTTTTCTTTCGCAGTTGATTTTATTTGCCGGAGAAGCTACTAATCATCATCAATTTTCCACGGTGCATGGGGCAGTTGCTGCCGGGTGGAGGGAGGCTCAAAGACTGATAGACTTTTATAATATAGACAGATGTCACGACGTGTTGTTCTAAATATTATGTAATTATTAAATGTAAGAAATCTGTTTGCTTTGTTCAGATAAAGATGTGCGTGTGTACTTGCATATACATATGTACAGAAAATGCGTGTAAATACATACACATTTGATAGTATCTTTTATACACGTTATACGAAATTATCAGCTGTTCGTAACGTAGTGACTAAGGAAAATTTGTGCTTGCTTTGTTCCAGTGTCATAAGCACCGTGTGTCGTAGAATAAAAATTTTGGTGCGTCGCTTCGCCAGCAAACATGATAATGGGTACATCCTAGGACAAAAAGAAAATTTCAAGTGTCATATAAACTTTCATGTTTTACGAATAAAGACGTTCTTTTTCTTACCTTGCTGCAGCCATTTTGTACTATTTTACCCCATATCGGCTCCGACAGAACGTTTGGTGTTATTCCATGTTTATCACATTTTGTTGTTATATGACTGTAACTGCCCCGAATATATTTGTTTGCATTCCATTGCGTTCTGACACATCTTTTTACTGGAGATATATTCTCGAGTTTTAGGTAATACTTGAGCAAATTTTCACAGTCGGTCGCAACTTGTTGCTCGCTTATCGTTTCAATCATATAAGCTCCTCGTCCTCCCACCCAACCGAGAAGAACACCTTCATGATTCGGTAGCACGTCAAAACCTGTAAGATCTTTGGTCCATGTTGCCAATGACTCGTTACAAGAAACTGATCTGCTTTCTTTCCAAAGTAGTTGAAATCCCTTTGTACCAGGTTTCCACCAAGGTACACCAAAATCGAGAAAAATCTTGTTAATCAAACCAAATCCAAGATTTTCAATTCCCTGTATAAACTGCGTTGGCAAAGATGGACTGAACATGTTCTTGTAATTCTCTTTCAAATAACCAAGAGAACAAGTAATTATTACACAATCCGCAAGGATTTGAGTGTTGTCGGAAAGAGTCAATACGAGCGAAGTATCTAAATCATTATCGACTACTTGTTGCCAGTCGATCGATTCCACAGAAGTATTCAGACGTAAATTTTTCCCGCTTAAACCATTAGCAATAAGTTTTGTTACTGAGCTATATCCACTTTTGAATGAAAGATGTTCTGGTCCTCCAACAAACTACAATCATGTGTATGGTTATTTTAGTGTTATGAAATATGATACATTACAACTGACTTGTATTTACCTTAAATTTCCCCCAATATTTAGTGGACAATTCATCTAATGTGAGACAGGAATTGTCTATTATAAGGAATCTGACATTCCAATCAAAAATTTCTTTCTTTATATTTTTTATAATCAGCGAATCGTTTTGTTTATCTAAATACTTGACGAGCGAATTTCTTAAAACTCTACCAATATTTTCATTATCTTCTCCGATTGTTCTATTCTCATAATTTTCGCAGTCTTCTAACGTGGTGCGAACAAAATCATCTATTTCCGTTATCAAGGCTTCGTCTACTTTGCGGCCATTGTTACGAAGGAAAATTCCTTGACCATCTTTACATTGAATATTCGAAAATAAATCATGTTCATAACATAACTGTGCTAATTGACTCTGATCGCCGTGTATAAACTGCGCTCCGTTTTCTATCCAATTTTTATTCCACGGTATTGATTGAATTCGACCACCAACTTCATTTTGAGCTACAATACAGCCATTATGAAATAATTGAGTCCTAAATACAATTCATATATATTTGAATTTTATTTACCTTCAATCAGTAGGTAGTCTTTGAAATTTGCGTTTTCTAATGTTCTTGCAGCTGCCAATCCCGCAATACCTGCACCTATCACTACAAGTTTCGTTCTTGTTGTTATTCGGTTCAAAGTGTTCAGTATCCTTCCCACTTTATTGCAGTTGCTTACCACTTGCTTTAACCAACCACACGTTCTACGTGATTTGAATTGTAATTTTTTATTAAAATCGTTTTATCTTACAGATTTACAACTAATTTTTAGTGTATATACACATATTACCAATTATATAAGTACAGGTAACAGTTGACAAATGTGATCAGATAGTGACAGGATATTTTGTTTATTTAATGATGCATTGTTTATTACTTCTAAATAAAGAGGAATGTGATTATCAATGCAGCAAGATTAAACATGCATGCATTTTAATTATGTATTTGTTATTAAGTATAGGAATACATGTTTTATTTTTTTTTTCTTTTTACTGAAGGAAGAAAATATTCAAAATAAAGAATAGCATATTACAAATGACCACTTAAACATATTACTGTTTATATGGAAAAGTATAAACATTTATATACAGGTTATATCTTCCACGACTTTTATGATGTAAAGCATCAGATAAGTCTATAATTTACCGTGATCCCTTATGAAGAAACATGTGGCTCTGGTGAGAGCTGAGACTTTAACCGCCTAAGAAAAAGCATGCTAATCAATACAAATGGAACATATCATTCGATATAAACATGATTCAATATAAACTCACTCCTATATTGCTCTCAAAAAAGAAAAAAAATTTATAAAAAAGATGTTGAAAATACATGTCGAAATTCATGCAAATTATCATTACATCTAGCTTTAATGTAAATAAAAAAATTAATAAAAAATAACTTACAACTTTAACATTTAATGTATGGAAATCAAAACGATCAAACCATTATCAGAGAGACTTTGCTAAGCCTGAGAATCATTAGTTGTAAATGAAAATCCTTTATCATGGCTAGATGAGTGATCAAAAAGACTGCACACTACTGTATGTCAGAACTACCTTATTTTCAGTACGTTTTAAATATTAATGATAATTAAATAGATAACAGAACGTACCTATAAAAATCTACTATTCTATCAGCTTCTCTATAACCCGTTTCGACTGCTCCATGCACGGTCGAGTAATAATGATCATGCGTCGCTTCACCGGCAAAAAGAAGTATCTGACAATCAAATTAAATTAATAAAGAATCTAGTATATTAATTAATTATTTCATTAATAGAAGTACATACAGGTTTACCATCAGCTGTAATAAAAGGTTCAGCTAAATCTTTTGTTTCTATGTTCATTTCTTCAGTTGTTAAGCTTCTGAAGCTATAAGATCCATAGAAATGTTCATCTGTATACCAGGATGATCTGTAATGATGTTAGTGTTATAATATGAAAAACTAATTTATTATAAATTCTTACCTAAGCATCTGGTCAAATTTTGGAATGTTATATGCTTTACTCAAGAACTTTTCTAAGAGTAAGTACAAGCCATCAGACACATCATTATCACAAAGTGATTCTATATGCTTTGCATATTTGCCAGCAATCCATGCACACAATACTCGTGGTTGGTAGTCTACAGAAATAAATGCAAAAACATCGCATAGCCATTCGTATTCCTAAATCATACATGATATATTTAATATCTTAATAGGTGATAGCATCAATACATGAAAAATAATGTAATTATACTTGTCCATAAGATCGAATGAACTCTGCCTTATCTTCCCTGGACCATATTAAGCTAAAACCAGGACATTCTTCCTGCCACCATCTATGTGGAAATTCTAGGAAAATTTTATTTACAGCTCCAAAATCTAGACCCTAAACAATGCATTGTAATTGTATTCTATATTAAGTACATTGTAAATTAAAACATAAAAACTTCAACATTACCAATTAATGTTATATTTTTACCGTGCCTTTATTGCATGTTGCTTATTAACAGGCAAAATTGGTGTAAACATTGTTGTATGTTTTTTTTTCAAGACTCCAAGAGATGCGGTAAATATAACATGTGATGCTATATATTTTGAGTCATCATTAGTTGTCACAATTATATCATTATGTGAAGTATAATCAATATTTGTGACACTTTTATTAAATTCTATTTTATCCATTATAGGCAACATCTTTTTTGAATTTGGGATCTTTTGCTTCAAAGAGAACAAATAAATAATATAATCTATAAAATATGATATTCCATATTTGATGCTCATATAAAATATACATACAGATAACAAATCAAATAGTGTTTTATAACCATGATATTTCCAGTTAAGTACATGATCACCTTCACAAACCCAGTATTTTGTAATTTCTTTTGCAGAAACATCAAACCATGAGTCACTACATTGGATTGAATTATCGAATTTGTGCATCCAGTCTAACAACTGTTCTGCTCTATCGCGAGTAGTAAATGGATTTTCTTCAAATATTTTGTAAAATCTGAAATTTGATACAAAAGAAATAATGTAAAACAGTAAGTATTAACATGACCAATCCCTTAGTTCGTAGATTTCGAATCGTCGCGGTAAATATGCATCATCAACCTTGAAGAGAATAGTGGTGGGGACACTATGGTACATTTATTGTAACTAGATTGTAAAGTTGATGATTGTAAAGTTGAAACTTGTAAAGTCTCATATCAGTCAACGCAAAATAGACAACATTATCTGACATATGAAACTTAATTGTTACCATTAAAACAAAGTTCAAAATAATATTTTATACGATATAAAAATATCATTTTAACGATACTGTAACTGAAAATGATTTATTAAAAAAAATGTTGCAATAAAACGTATTTTTTATATACACAAAATAATGTTTGCAAAAGGGTGAGCATTACTTTTGTAATTATATTAACAATACCATTTCAATTTCGTATAATGAGCATACTTATTTCAGAAAGATTGATTCTGAATTAGAAAAACTGAGGGAAGAGATTGATGGCCCACCAAATTTAGATACTGTGATACTAAACATTCAAAGAGCTACAGTACGAATCCATGCCTCTTATTTATTTGAAAACATTGGCAAACCCACATTGAAGGAATTATGTTTATTATTAAGTTCTACTGCCACTGGAAAAATATATGGTGGGTGGAAAGAATTTGCAACGCACATGGGTTTAACTATAGATCAAATACATGTATGTACATAAAAAATATTTAAAATGTTTAGTATTGATAATATTCATTTTTATGAATTTTTTATTATCACAGTGTATAGATTATAATTTCAAAGGCATGGAAGATCCAACTTATTATGTGTTATTAACTTATGCACAACATACTGAAGCAACTATTGACAAAATTTTTTGTGTATTGCAAAAAATGGATAGACTTGATATAATTAACATAATAAGAGATAGTATTTTTAATCTTATTGATGCAATTCCACAGACTATTTCAACCAATGGTATTAGAAATATTTATTGTAAAAACTTAATGATGCTTATAATATTGATAGTACTTTTAATGTATACAAAAGTTTTATGCTTGTATAGAATCTACCATTGCACGGACAAATAATATCCCAAGAGTACCATTAGTTTTAACTCCAACAGAAGCTGTACAAACTGTACAAAAGAAAAGGGTTGATTCTGAACATACAATACAAGATAATGTACAAAAGGTATTGTACTTATTATAAATATGTTTCAACTCTGATTATAGAAAAAGTATTAATATTCTGCATATGTTGATAGAAGAAACAATTTAACCGTAAAGTCATGCTAACATTTGCTGGTGATGGTACGACAACTGCTCAAAGCATAGCAAAGGTATTTAGGTCCGAAAAATATAGGATTGGAACAGTTATGCTTCAAGAATTAGAATATTATGTGCACAGTATGGCAGAACAATTTGTAGATGATTGTTTTCAACAGGTATAATGATTTTATGTTTACCTTGAATTGAAAAGATAAATTCTTTCAATGTACCACTTATTACTAGGTTGACTTTATTATACCAATATTAACAGAAGAATATATAGAAAGAATAAAAAATTCTAAGAAAATATACATGGAAGATCAGCATAAACTCGACGCTAAATATATAAAATACATATACTCTTTATCAAGATATGAGTATATAAATAATCGATGTTTCAATTATCGTGTGAGGTACACATCTTAATAAACTTCTGTTTTTATTCATTAGATAATTATAATAATGTTTTTGTTTTTTTAACTAGGTGTATAGTTCCTGACAATGAAGTTCAGACAGTCTTAAATGGAGATTTGCATCCAATTTTACAAGTATGGTATAGAGAAAGTGATATTGAAACATTTGTTGAAAATATCTTACTGTGCAAATACTCAAGATAACCATTCATTGATAAAAATAAACACAATAAATAAAATAATAAAAACGATAGTATTACATTCATGTACTGTATATATACTTACTGACATATGAAATATTCTCCATAAGATTCTGCATCATTTATAGCATTTGTTATATTTTCAGAAATATCATAATATATTTTTAAGGTTTCTGTGGCTTCTTTTTTTGAAAGTATTTCACCTTTAGCAGAAACAAATATATGCTTACTAAAATCATTAAAACATTTAGACGAATCCAATAATTTATGTTGAAAAGCCATGTCAAATACAACATTCCCACGTTCACCATGAACCCATTGTGCTCCTAACTCTACAACATTCTCCGCTGAAAATACAAACATATATAATTTTATTATAAATAATTTTTTTATTATGAGCAAATAATTAATGTGCTGATAAATAAAATAATTTTAAATATAGGTACAAGGGTTACTTACAAAATTCTACTGTATTTATTCTACCACCAATTCGATCTTTGGCTTCGAGAATTGTAACATTTTCAAAACCGTTTTTTATTAATTTACTTGCTGCAGCAATACCTGCAGCTCCAGCTCCAATAATAATTATCTTTGGCCCGTTAAGCATTATTTTGATTTAACGCGTTCTAAGGTAGTAAACTATAATAGTAAAGGGTTGTATTGTCGTCATATATAATCAATATATCTCTAAAAAATGTTGTTTTTTGCACTCAAAAAAAATGTGGGACTTTGTCCAAATGATAAAACAACTGTTATTAATTATACTAACATTGTATCGCGATGAATAGATATTGTTCTGGCTATCCAATCAGATGATTTACTATATACTGTTATATATATACGGTGTTCAGAAAGTTTATAGCATGATATTTTACCTTTCATAGTTTTGATTGGAAATATATTTAATCTTATTTAATTATAATTATTTCTCGTTTGTAATTCGAACGAAAAGTGTACAAATTAAATAAAAATGGTTTCAAATTTGCTAAATTACGTAAAATGACTGACATTCAAGTTGAAAATTAAACATAGCACTGCATTAGGTTAATAGGAACAAGTTAGATTGAGTGTTAAAAAATGAATAAATGTAACCAAAATTACATATTCTTTTAATTTTTAACTTCTAAGCGTTTGATACTAACTTATAAGCAATGGAACAAAGTAAAGAGGAGTCTTCGCGAAAGGTTAGTATAAAATTAAGTTCAGTGTTTTACAAATTATTATGCATTCAACTTTATTAAATAAGGATTTTTTACAATGCAGAGATATAGGAGAGAAGATCAAAAGGAAGAAAGTCCTTTTGATGTAGATGATAATTATGTACCTTATGTACCAGTTAAAGAACGTAAAAAACAACAATTAACTAAGCTTGGTAAACTCGGACAACTCAAAGATGATGCAGCTGTGGGTATTATTGGGAAAAGTAGTAGTGAAAATGAGAAAGATGATGGGGATGACGATGATGGACAAGTGTGGGGAAGAAAATCAAACATTTCTCTTTTAGATCAACATACTGAATTGAAAAAATTAGCAGAAGGTAGATAAGCATTGTATTTATTAAACAGTTTTGCTATGAATAAAGTAATTAATTGATAATAATTTTCAGCTAAGAAGGAAAGTGCTATGGAAAAGCAATTGAAAGAAGAAGAAAAGATTCTAGAAAGTGTAGCAGAGAATAAAGCTTTAATGGGTGTAGCTGAATTAGCAAAGGGTATTCAATATGAAGACCCAATAAAGACCAGTTGGCGACCTCCAAGAGCTGTTCTAGCTCTTGGAGAAGCAAGGCATGAGAGAGTTAGGAGAAAACTTAGGATTTTGGTAGAAGGAGATGATATTCCACCACCATTGAAAAGCTTTAAAGAAATGAAATTTCACAGAGGTATCTTGAATGGATTAGAACAAAAGGGTATTATTAAGCCCACACCTATCCAAGTTCAAGGAATACCTACTGTGTTAGTATACATTTAGTGTATATTTGTAAATATTTTTTATGGCATTATGGATTTAAAATATTTGTTTTCCTTTGTTATATTACAGATTATCTGGTCGTGATATGATTGGCATTGCCTTCACTGGCAGTGGGAAAACATTGGTATTTGTTTTACCTATCATAATGTTCTGCTTAGAGCAAGAAGTAGCTATGCCATTTGTAAGAAATGAAGGACCATATGGTACAACCCTATTAAAAGTAGAAACAAGGAAAGAGTATGAACAAAAGAATAATTTATATCTCTTTTTTGCAGGTTTAATTATTTGTCCGTCACGGGAATTGGCTAAACAAACTTACGATATTATTCGGCACTACACAAATAGTTTGCGTCAAGCAGGCTGTCCTGAGATACGTAGTTGCTTAGCAATTGGAGGTGTACCTGTATCTGAATCTTTAGAAGTTATTAATAAGTAAGTAATTTAATAGTACTTTGGTTATTATTTTTTCGTATTATATAAAATACTAATATTATTACAGAGGCGTGCATATCATGGTAGCTACTCCTGGGCGATTAATGGACATGTTAGATAAAAAGATGGTAAAACTTAGCGTATGCCGTTACCTGTGTATGGACGAAGCAGATCGCATGATTGATATGGGATTTGAAGAGGATGTGCGAACGATTTTCTCATTTTTTAGGGTACATATATTTTACCGTAATACTTTTTATATCATATCATATGTATGCTAAAGTTAAACACTTCTTATAGGGTCAAAGACAAACATTATTATTTTCTGCGACTATGCCGAAGAAAATTCAGAATTTTGCTCGTTCAGCGTTAGTAAAACCCGTAACGATCAATGTTGGTCGCGCGGGTGCCGCATCTATGAATGTAATACAAGAAGTTGAATATGTGAAGCAAGAGGCTAAAATCGTGTACCTTCTGGAATGCTTACAAAAGACCCCACCACCGGTACTTATATTTGCCGAGAAGAAACAAGATGTGGACGCTATCCATGAATATTTATTATTGAAAGGTGTTGAAGCAGTAGCGATACACGGTGGAAAAGGTTTGTTACTATTTTACATAACTTCCCTAGATATTTTATTAAACATTTATTTAATCGTTTAACTGGTGTTTTTATACAGATCAAGAAGAAAGATCACGTTCTGTGGAAGCTTTCCGACAAGGTCGAAAAGATGTATTGGTGGCAACGGACGTTGCATCTAAGGGTCTTGATTTTGCCGACGTACAACATGTTATAAATTATGATATGCCAGATGATGTAGAAAACTATGGTAATTTATTACCTCTTTATAAATATTATATAGTGACTAGTTTAATGATTAAGTAAGACGTTTTTTTGTACAGTACATAGAATCGGAAGAACCGGTCGTTCTGGACGAACTGGAATAGCAACAACATTCATTAATAAAGCAAACGATGAATCCGTGTTACTCGATCTTAAACATTTGCTTATGGAAGCAAAACAAAAGGTTCCACCGTTCTTGTTGGAACTGTGTTCAGAAAACGAGAAGTATCTCAATTTGGGAGGTATGATATCACATTTCTTTTTTTTGTTATTAGACGAAGAAATATTAAATTGTTTTCACTGTGTTTCAGACGAACGTGGGTGCAGTTATTGTGGTGGTCTTGGTCATAGAATCACAGACTGTCCCAAACTTGAAGCCATTCAAAATAAACAAGCATCCAATATTGGACGCCGCGATTATCTGGCCAGCAATGCAGCTGACTATTAAGTGTGTAATCTTGGACAATATTTTGTATATATTTTTTACAAAATTATTCTTTAGATTTTATAAGAAGACGTTTTAAACATTGTAAAAGTAAATGTGTAAATAATTTCGTAAAATGGTTGTCAATAATTAATGAGCCAATAAAATTTAATTCGAGTTATTTCTTTTGCCCGTAAGTCGATATACTTATACATAATAGAGGTTGTGTCCACGATGTTTTTATGTTTTTGTTGTCAAGAGGTTTGACTACGATTATAGTGCACGCAAGGAATAGTTAATTTCCCAACAAATTGTCTACGTTTTAATTGTGCAATATGATATTTAACGAAGATGATGGAAAGGACGATGAATATTTCAAAAGAATCAAGGAGCAGAAGGAAGACGAGATGGAGGAACGACGACGATTGTTAGTGAATAAGAGTGAAATTAAGCAGCGTTTACGTGAACGTCATATAAAACGACAAGAAGCATCAGAAATGGAAGAAACTCAACAGGCTAAAGAAGCTGCTAAGTTAAAAATTCAACAACTTGAACTGACGGAACGACTAGCTAAAGAATTGTCATGTCGCAAATGTAAAAGGCGTGTACTTTAATTACATCGTTGTGAAGTTGCCGTATTAACGCGTCAATTTATTGTTACAATACAGATATCGAGCATCAAGAAGCGTCGAAAGCCAGGAAGAAGAAATATACTTCTTCAAACAGTGCATTGGAGAACATACACGATGAGTTAATCAAAGAACGAAAACAAGACGAAAAGACACATACTCCGTCATTCAGTGGGTGGTGGTTCAGCGAAGATTCTACAGTAGAGCAACAAGTGAAGAAGATAAATTATAGAAGAGAGCTGCAAAACCAGCTGATAAATAATCGTCGTAAATTGCGCGAGGAAGCAGAAGAGAAGCAACGAGAACGAAAGATAATGGAAGAAGTTGGTGAGACGTTACACGAAGAGGATGTAAGAGCCGAAAAAAGAAAACGAGAAGTTGCCGCTTTGTTGCAAGCAGAAAAGGAGGCGTTTCTTAAAACTCGACAATTTTGGAAGGAAAAACGAAGGGAGGTTTTGAAGCAGGAACACGATGAGATTTCGAGGATCATTGCCAAAAAAGAGGCCCAACGAAAGAGAGAAGCCGAAGAAAAGGTAGAAAAGAATTAAATAATAGGTTGTCTGTCATAAATATTACCGACGTTTTGCAATTTTCAGAGCGATACTCGTGCAGCCAAAGAAGCAATGGTAGAAAAACTATCGAAATACTTGATGGAAGAGGAACGTAAAAGAATAGAACGAGAGGAGATCTGTCGTGAATTGTACTTAGCAGAGAAAGAAGACGAATTGATGAAAAAGACAATGCAGTTGACAATCGAAAAGAAACGAATTGCAGGGGAACTATTGCAGGACATGGTAAAATTATTATCGCGTTGCATATCAATTACGTTTCTTGAACAGGCAAATGATAATAGATGTAACTCATAGGCGAAACATCAGAAAGCCGCTGCCGAAAAGAAAGCAAAAGAGTTGGAGATCGATGCGGCTTTCGTCAAATACTTGGCCGAAGAACGAAGAAATCTAGAGGAAAGGAAACGACAGGAGACTCAAGCACGACGCGAAAGAAGTATAATTTCATAGAATCTTTTAAATACAAAGATAGGAATACTATTATATTTTATTTTTAGGTATCCAATATCGAAACGAGTTGAAAGAAGCTATGGCTAGAAACAGAGAGCAACGCGCGAAAGACTCTATAAAGATCGATGCAACTGAAAATTTATTCACATGGGGTAACGGTGATGAGGACCGCAAACTGAAGTGCTACTCGGAATCGGCCCTTGACGCTTTGAAATCTCAAGAGAACAAGAATGCTACCTCTACATAGATTATTCGTTTCTTTTTATCTCTGTCACTAACCAGTGACAACAATATCGGATAATCAGAATTTAGGTTCATAAAAAATTCTCAAGCATCTTAAGGATCATTTCTACGCTATTTATTGGTATACAGATATATACAATGATTAGCGAAAGACATTGCTCTCGTGGCTCTCTTATTTATACAAAGTCCGTGTAAAAATACAGCAGCCCCATCTTATATCGGATATATAAGTACGTGATAAATTAACAGTCTCGCCTCGTAAGTGTTCCAACACTGGAAAATCAGACGGGAACAACCGGTTAACGAATTCTGTTCTTCCTGCCAGATTTTATTTGTCGGTCGAGGCAAACAAATTCCTCGAGCGATCTTTCACCCCTTCTGTTCTTGAAAATTACGAATTCAATCCTATCGTTTGACTCGTTGGTTTTTTTTCTTGAAGAATTTGAAAAAGAGAAGGGGTTGAAATAACTATGTCAGAAGCACCCGAGTGTTAGAAATGACTACAAGTATGAACGTTAGTTTTTCTCGGTTGACAGTTGCCATGGTCGCTTATAAACTAATTAATCAATCGTTTCGTAACGACAACAAGTAGATTAGTAACTATTAGTTAAAAACATTGCGTGTTGGGAAACGATGACACTCTGAAAATCAATTCGTAAAACGAACATTCCTGAGATCGTAGAAAAATTATTTCGTCGTTTCCTTTCGAGGAAGATGATCGTAAACTTCGATACGGGTATACTACGAGTTCGACACTACGTTATATCTTAAATCTATGGAATTTATGTATCTTCACTCATCGAAGTGGTTGTTCGATGTTCGGCTCTGACCTATAGCTCACTTTTGTGATCGATAAAATTGAAAAATCCGTGAAACATCGATGGATATAAACAACGAGATAATCAGGCGACATGGCCACTGGTTCAGAACCGGTGAAGTTCACGAATTTAACACAGATTGGTCTTAAAAGTAAAATCACATTTTCTTAGACAACCCATTTGCCTACATTGACTCGCTGTTGTTTAATTAACACGATTTATACGGCAGCTTTTCTCGAGCGAAACAAAGCGGGGAACACAGAATTAATCTTTTACGCTCGATAAATGTTAATCAACGCTTATTCAAATAAATTCTTGTCTCTTAACTATTCGCTTACATGGTATTAGGCCAATGGGTTAATCAAATATTAATCACGGTCGAATTAAATAGTCGATTGGTCAATGGAATTTCCAATTACGAAGAAAAAACCGACCATTAATTCGCGCGTGTTCGCTAAACGTGTATATATATAAACTCATGTAAAAGTAAAATCACATATCCTTAAATATAAGTACACGTATGTCACGTTTGTATACACACAAGCGGATTTTTTTTCTTTTCAGTTTACTCGCAGCTCTAACATTTCACTCGGAAGTGGGCAAACGAAGCACGAGTTCATTTATGGCGGAACTCCACTTATGTAAATAAAATTATATCACTGATCGTAGGATATACAGTTACAAGAGCTGTAATATTTTAATCGTTGAAAGTCTAAAGAAAGATTTATTGTATAATTTTGGCAAAACCTTACTGCAGTATCAAGGGAAATGGAACTTCACCATTCTTGCAAAATTTTTCACTCGACAGAGTTCCTATGTTCGAATCACTTTGCATATAATCTGTTCTTAGTTATTTTCTTATAATTACGGATGTCGGAGCATAGGTTTGCCCACCTTTATCACTTAACGTTAAGACCCACCGTAGATGATCAAAATTCGTTAAAACATATGTTACTATTTTGCGTACAAGTACTTTTTTGAACAGATAATTCTCGCAAGTCTCGAAGTACGTTTCGTAGAAGTTTGCATGAAATTGATGAGCTACCTTTAATGCTACTTAAGACCAATGAGATCTTTAATGAAGGATTAAGCGAACAAGAGCGTACCGAGATAAACTTGAGTACTAGATTTTCGATTGATTTCAGCAAAGGATAAGAGTAGATTGATCCGCGAACGAAGGGAACTTAAATTCGATTGGACGTGCATAGGTTGAACCCTTTTGCCTCGGTGAAATAAGGGTTAAAAGTTAAGTTAGAATACTAATCATTGTTTAATATAAATGAAACGAGGCAAAAGCGACAAGGAATGTTTTCACGGACGCAAAATTATTTTCGTACAGTATTAAGCATATGGACTAATAGCACCGCACGATAGTAACAAAAGATTTGATGAAACTACTTCACGTTAAGTTTCGATCGTTTTCAACACTTAAGCGAAGGAATGTAATGAAACTCATGGAAAACTTATCGGAATGCGCATCGTTAAGTCTCGTATCTTGTATACAGTCTCAAAAATATAAATAGCTCGACGAGTTTTCTCATCACTTTACGCATTGGAAATGCAAATATTCCGGCAAGGTTTACACCACGATTAGGAGTTGCCGGAAATAGGAACCATGAGAATAGTATGTTAGATCAACAGCAAGCGCAGGCGATGAAATATTGTTCGGTATTGTTGTTTTTTTTTAAGGGGAGATTCGTAAAGCAGCTACCTACGAACTTGCTGTTCTTCTCACAACTATCGTGTCGCCAAGGAAAACTTAAAGAAAAAACAAACGAAAGTTCTCTTCCGACCGCGAGATCCCTTTTCCCAAGTTTCGAGCAGCGGTGTACGATAGGCACAATAATAGTAAATAGTTTAAAGTATCTCTTATCCTCTTGAAAATACGTCGATAGATCACCTATGAAAATTCGCTATTCGATCCGATCGAACGCTGATCCCTGAACGGTGAAGCCCTGCGATCGCAAACGAATGAACAAATCGACCTTCGGCGAAAGGAAATTTCTAGGCTAAAGCAGATCCTTGCTAAGACTCGAATCTCTTCTGCCTTCTCTGCACACACGATTGCGGTAATCCTTTTTAAAAAGGATGAATATAATTTGGCCCCTTTTCTTTGGAAGAAGAAAACTTGGCTTGGATCGTTTAACTAGCACTTCCATTAAAACGCGCGTGTGTCCGTTTGATCGATCGATCACGACAATCGATCGAGAACGAGGATTCACGGAGATAAACGTCGTCTTATCGCTAGGAAGACGTAGAAAAACAGCGAAAAGCGTACAGGACGCGTATGTATTGCCTGCTTCTCGTCACGCGTACTTACTCTTAAAAAAATACATTTCAGCTAGAACGGAAGAAGCTCGTTCGGGGTTACGCTTTAAGAAAACACGTCCAGCAGCCATTAAAACTAACGCGATAAAATGGACCTGGTTGTTTCACGCGCAGTTTCACCGGCAACAAGCAGCTTCCTATTTTGATTTCTTATTCTAATCGATCGTTGCGCTTGTTGTTGGCGAAACCGAAATCGAACCAGAGGATGGCATGCGAAATGTCCACTCGTAATTAGTCGGACGGGATTTCTCGGTGCACCAAATTTGTCCTTTTCTATCCATACAAGTTTCCTCCTGTTGCAAAGATTCCTCTAAATAGATCCGATAAATCGTCGTTCGTTCACCGCGGTCACGTATCCGAGAAGAGGAACTCGCTCTCGGACAGCAGCACCTCCAAGTCGGAAGGAACAGTGTGTAAATCAGAATTGGCCGGTTCAGGTAAATCACCCGCACCGTTTCCGATCCCTGTAGGTGCTATTTGTCTGGCCCTGCCTATTCTGACTCTGTCCTTCTTCTTCACCGTCTTCAAAAGCACGCCCGTTCTCGGAAGCTTTGGTCTGCTGCTCGCGTTTGCCACCAGGGCAGGCACCTGTGCCACCTTGTCCGACTTTCGTAGCTTCACGCTGAATTTAAACGGCGGTTTATAAATCACTTGCAATTTAGCTCTCTCTTTGCGCGCGACAGGGTTGACCGTGAGCTTCGGATCCCTAGGTTCGGTCGGCCTTCTCGATGTTACTTGTCTGGTGGCCGGTAACCTAGTCCCCGCGCTGGTCAGACCTACAGGAGTCGATTTACTCTTTGGCAAACCGTTCGCGTTCGTTCTCGTCGCGTCTGGTCGACAATGAGACGACGCCAGTAACCAGGAACGGACTTTGCTTTTCGGATCAGCGTTTGGCTCGGTTTCCTTCTCGGTCTGAATCGCCGAGTAGTCGATCACTTCCTTCTTGTGTTGCTTCTTGCGTTTCCGTTTTTCGTTGTCCGAACTGTTTGCCGCGTTACTGGACGAATTTTGCTTATCCCGAGCAGAGAAGGTCTTCTTTCGTTTATTCTCCTGGGTCACCGCCGTCGTACCCTCTGCCGATCTTTTTCTAGTGAAGTCCTCGTTGGGATTCGCGGATGTCCTCTTCGTCTGGGGCTGCGACTGCTTCTTCTTCTTCGACGCATCTTTGCCGGCTTTATCGGCCGAGTTCGCGTGCGAATCCTTATGCTTTCGGTGTCTCCTCTTCTCCCTCACTTTTCTGCTGAGCGGAAGCTTCGCACGCACCGCTGGTGGGTGTACCGTGACACCCTCTGTCCCTTCTGGCGGAAGACGTACCGTTTCCGTCGTCGAGCTGTGTATTATCGTGACCGACTTGAGCTTCGGATCCGGTCGTTTGCCCAACAGTCGCATGCTCACCACCTACGTACATGAAACGCCATATGTGAGAAGCATCGACGGTGACACGCAGTTCGTTCTACCGTTGTTGAATACAGTAGCGTAATGTCCATACGAGACTACGATACTGCTAGCATGTTTGCATATTCGATAATGAAAAGCTTTCGAAACGTTAAAGGCAAGTTTACGATGATTCCTCAGGGATTCTATGAACATAGCTAGCTGATTACACCATAGATTCTATTCTGTCCCTAGACTTACTCTCGACACTTTTCTTATCCGAGTTTCTCCTGCATCGTTTCTGGCGTAAAAATCATTGATCATATAGTAACATTGTACCGTTAAACATAGATATTCGAAAGTATGGGGCAAAGAGATTAATATTAAATGGAAGGTGAAAATAATACGCACCAGTAGAGATATCGCAGCCAGAATGATCAGCGCAGCTGCGTACCAGTGGTTAACGATCCAACGACGGAAATTGGCAAGACTTTCGTCCGATAATAAAAGCTTCCTCAAAGTTGCCAAAGGACCACTCGGATCGACCTATGCATCGGATATTTATATTTAACATAATCGAACGAATTGGATGGTTCCATTATTTATTATTTCAATTATCATGGTACCTCTCGACATTTCTGGAAGACATCGCAGTACCCGTTGTAATCGTTGCACGGTGTTCCCGGTTTCGAGAACATGTCCGGTATGTCGTAGGGTGGAGAGTTCCAATCGAAAGATGATCTGTCGGTGCGAGAATCATCGTCAATAGTTTACCTTTCAATTCTGGTTAAGATAAATAAAAGAAGAACATGTATGATATCGTACAAACAAGGCTGATTCTCGCCGGGAAGACGGCAACAAAGTTCGCAAGCTTTCGTCTGTAGATCATTTGGTCCTGGTAGACACTGGCAAGATTCCAATCCGTACGCGAGGCAGATACTACCTGTACATTCCTACGGAGAGAGAAGTTAACTGATCTATGCGCTCGCAAACAGTCGGTTAAATCCGCGACTTTATGAACACTTTAATCACCGTTGCAGAACACGTTTCACGGAATACTCACTCCCATAAAGCATACGAATTCGCGATTACAGATTGTCTTGTTGGGTTTGTTGATGGAAGGAGGACAATACGGCGTTCGACCATCGCAGAAACTGGCGTCGCGGCAACCATTGTCGTCCCTGCATTTGTCTCCGAATCTTAAATTACACTCGGCGGTACAGCACGGACCCTGCAAAGACAACATTGTCGAAATACCGTAGGAAAGATGTACCGAAGACTTCTCTCGAATTAACGTACTTGACTAGGACTGCAAATTGACCCTGGCGTGAGCGTGCACGGTGTCTCACCGGCTGGTGGATACCGACGTTGAGGAAAGCAGCACGAGTCTCTGCAATCTTCTTCCCATCCGCAGTCGCATTCTTCGCCTTCCTCGACGACGCCGTTCCCGCACAATGACACTTGCGGTTCTGGAACACGTGTACTCGTTTACGTCGAACGATCGAGTGCAACGTAAACCCTATATTACCGAGTGCTTTATAGGATGCAATTGGAATGATGCACTCTCTAAGAGGATGTTTCAAAATTTGATGGACTTTGAAAGAAGGATATTTTGAACGAGTTACGCGTTGAAAGGAGAGACGTTGGATATTAATAAAGGTATAAAAATAACGCGTAGGTATTGGAAACTGACCAGTAAAGCAGCCCTTCGGGGATCGAGCTTTGCTATTCAAAACTGGGTTTATAGCGCTCAGGCTGCACGGACTGAAACGATTATTGTTACGCTTGTCGCCACTGGTAGCACGAGCGAACATAATGAAGTTTCCATCCTCACCGCCGGGCGTGCATTGTTCCGGATCGTGCTGAAACAAAGTAAAGTGGCGGCTTTTGTTACGCGAGTATCGACAGACCTAGAAAAACACAGGCTACGCATCAAGCTCTCTTCCACGTAGGCCGAAAGAAAGGCACGGTCGTGTGCTATCTCGCGGAGGAAACGGGCACGTGGAAGTAGATGCACCGTTTTACCGAACCAAGTAATACCGAGGGAAACGGCCAAGACTCGTCATTTTAGGTAGTTACGTTGCTACGTAGAGCGAAGTGACGTCGTACTTACCGGCGAACCAAAGTTGTGACCAATCTCATGGGCCAAAGTGACGTGAGAGACTGCAGGTGGTACGTGCTTGCCGTAATTCAATAAAGTTACTATTCCTGTGTTCAACGACTTCATGCTGCCGCGATAGTGCTGCAACCATTATACGTTTTAGATGTTAATTTTAAAGAGAAGCTCTTTTTTATGGGCTCGATGCGTGAAACATATTCTACAGATAACGGCAACTAGTTCGGTATTCTTGATGGATAGTAGCCTTACCGACCAGTCTCTCGACATCGGTTAATAAACACCTAGATTGGACTTACTCCGTTCTTTTCGCAAACTCCGCCAGCATTTTTCAGGTCACCGGTCCAGGCGAGTCCCAGAGTTCCCATCTCAAAGTCGCGATAAGTGAACATGTAAGCTAAGCAGAACGCGTCGTAATCCTCTTCTGTAACGAAAGGATACCGATTACGTCGACTCGAATCGCTTCGAATGCAGAAACGTTGGAAAGTTCGAAAGGCTCCGGAGGCCTTGATCTTTCGTAAAAAGAACTTATTTACCGGAGAATAGTTCCAGATACTTTTCCACGCCGTAATTTCCCGGGAATCGATAATTGGGATCCCTCAACGCGTCCTCGCTGTGAACTTTCACGCGTTTTATCATGAAACTGATGTTGTCCGGTCTCCCGTCCTGATTAAAATCTGCAAAAAATAAGAAATAATATAGCGTCCCTTGTCGATACTTGTATCCCGAACCTACGAAAGCTCTCGAGCATTTCCCGAGCTATCTCTCCCTTCTAATAACCGGATCTACTCGAGAGTTAAGCTCTTCTAAAGATGGATTTCAAGACGGACGGTTAAGTTACAAATGCTCGTCGACCGAGTTCGAGAGTCTTGTTTCTTTCGAGTGGAAATAATTCGTATTTCAGATTAGATTGGTGGACATCGAGCAGCGCTGGAAATCGGGAGAGTAAGATTTACCGGTATGCTTGTAAATCGAGTTGACCCTCTGCACGTGTCTCGTCATCACCTCGATGCAAGCTTCCTCCGTGCCGTATCGCGCGAAAAATTGATGATCAGCTTGCAGATAGAGCATGCAGGTAGTTTTCCTCGGATCCACGGTTGCTCGTTTGTGTAAATGCCTCGCGATACGATCACCGTCGTTCCTGCTGAAACGAAACAGCGACAGATGCAACGGGGGATGTTCAGGAAAGATCATTTTTTATGTCGGCTGGAAACGAACAAATCCTTTCGTTCGCGCTATAATTACACGGCTATGACTGTCAATTTTTCCCCAAAGATTTTTTTTAATTCCAAGAAGTAAATACTTCGATTTTCGTGATTTTTGTTATGGGAGCAACACTCACGTATCTGTACGTGCCACGTTTTTCTCTCTCTCCGATGTTAAAACCCTTGCGCTGTTTTCCTTCGAGTATAGTGCGAGCTTCTCGCCGAGCAATGGTTCGTAATACGTTCGGGAATCGTTCTCGAAACTGTTCCTCCTGAAAGATACACAGAGCTTCGAATTCCGTGTCTGCAGAGATACACCCGAGTGTATCGATACTTTAATTCGTGCAATTTTTAGTACATACACGGGTAATCGAGTGCACCGCGTGCATTTGTCTTGGGACATCCAAAAATAAAGCTCTTCAATATTTGAAACGATTAAGCTGTTAAATTTCTATTTTAAGCGTTTTTACAAAATAACCATTTAAATATAAATCGGTCGACTATTTTGAAGAAATATCGCGGTTAGCTAAAAGGGTGACAGACGAAACGCTTAAACTGATTAAAGCAGACGCTCGTAAAGGTTAATTGCCAACGATTCGTCCGGGAATGTTTGAAGATTCGCGGTTTAAAGCTCGTTAGATCTAGCTGCACGCTTAACGTACGCCTACGAATAATGCGTCGGAGAAATTGCTAACGAAATTAGCGCGAAGGAGCACCGGTGTTCCGAGTTGATAAACCTCAGACGGTGTAGACGCTCAGCAACAACCTGGTCCCTTTCTCTCGTTAGATCCATTCTCATTCTCGGTTAACGTAACACGATTATTTACCTAGCACGTTTTACATGTGTTATCCTGTTACATTAACGAACGCGTTGCCTACGAGTCATTCTGGAAATCTGTTTTCCAAATCGCGTCAGACGCAAATCGTTTTCCATGCATGAATCACCCGCGACGTCTTACGAATTAATAAAGAGCTGTTGCAATCTTTACTAGTTCCTCAGAAATTATCGGGATTCGAACGCATCGATTCCTCGAATCGAACACTCACCTTTCCGTGAAATCGCGGAGGGTCTCTCGATGCAGCTGATGACTGGCACACGGAATTGTATGTCGCGGGGTGAGAACGTCCGAGGCTCGATAAGCGATACTGTGATACGGTGGCGAGGTGTTTTCGCGCTTGTCCAGGTATCGGTTCGTAGGCTCGATGTAGTATTCCTCGAATCTAGTGACGATGGTGCCGTCGAACAGGCCATCCTCCGTCACGACACCTTGCACCAACGCGTTCTCGTCTTCTGCAAAATGCATCATTCGGGTTCAACGTTCGAGGGCTCCTTTCAGCTCCGACATACAGAGTAATAGCATAAATGAACAACGTCCTTTAAAGACTTTACTGCGCGCATTTTGAGTAGAGGGATATTGTTCAACTATACGATGCTGGAACGTTTGGCATTTGCCGTTTTTGAGATGACCTTTTCCACGACACGGAATCATCCCGTAGGTGTAGTAAAAAAGAACGAAACTTTTTATTGTTTTACGGAACAACACACCAACATGTCAAAATATTGACATTTCGCAGAAACGATGATATTCATTTTTGAAGCCTCGAAGTCAAGTAAATTTGATATATTTCATTCTAGTCGAGTACGAGATGGAATATTTAATGATATGTATCCAACAGGTTCATCTTTTATTCCGTAGTTGAATTATTCGACAAAATCAATATTAATGTCGATGTATTAAAACGTGCCGGACTCGAATTTTCTACGTACGTAATCGCTTTGACTAAATAACGGTAATTCATTTTCTGATACAACGATCCGTGGAATTACGCTTGTTACCGAGGGAACGGTCACGAATTATTTCCCTCGAAATACAGTATAAAGGATTTGAGAAAAAAAGGAGGAAGAGAAAAGAAAGAAGGGATTACAGAAGCGGAGAAAGTCTAATCCGCGAAGGGACCGTAAGAGAGAAACGTAAAGGACTAGTAGGACGATGGGTTCGTCTACTCGGACTGTGTTCGAGAGAATTTATCGCGAGATAGATCGACGTTTTTGCTTTTCTACTCGAACGAATTGACCGTGCTGGTGTGCGTTATCGACGCAATATCGTTTCTTTTTCCGGAATAACATCGCGATGTCAGGGAAAATAAGCAGCACGTTTGGGAATTTGTTTCACATAACAAACGAAGATATTTCGTGGGGGTTCCGACGAAATATTTATGAAACAAATACCTACGTATACGCGAATGGTTAAATACCTAAGTAACGAAGTATACGAAGTTGCGAGATGTACGAGTCGTCAAAGTTACAATGAAAAGAAACATCTCCTTTAGAATCCACTGAAATCCTTGTTAAAGTTAAAATCAACCCTCTGCTTTTCCCGTAGCGACTACGTTTATTCCAGTAATTGGCTATTCGCACGGAAATCGAGCGAGTCGTCGTCTATTTAGATTCAGGGAACTCGGGGATAACTTCGTTCCGTGTCTCCACCTTCGTCGGGGGTTTCGCTTCCGGGTGAAGCGATAGATTTCCGAAGCAAACTCTCGAATCGAAAATTGTCTCATCGTTGTCGAAGCGCCGTAGCGAGAAGAAGACAAAGCGAACGAGCGACGAAAGAATGGTATCCATTTCCGTCATAGCTGTCTTCTTTCTCGAGAATTACACCGTTCCGTCGATTTCATAATTTCCGGGCGCATCGTTTCTTCGATACGACGGAAAAGTAGGTCGAAAAATTTCGAAGCGTACGCGTTGTGTTACCCACATGTCTACATCCGTACATTCCCGATGAGGTATAAAAGAAATTGTAATAGAAAGGTCTCGGAGGGAATGGAGTTAATTATCGAATTAAAGACGGGATTCATCGCGGGCCACGGAAAGAAATATAGCTCGGCAGACAGCGGAACGAACAAACGAATTATCGAAAGGCTTTTTCCCTGCAATTAAGTGTTTTAAATCCCCCGATGGGTAAATTCACCCCTCATGCTAATCGATACCCTCTAACAAAGGAAACGATTGAACAAAGGGTTCTCCGGCTCGAACGATCTCCTGATGCACAACTACGGGACCAATGAAATTACCATTTAAGAGAAAATCGAAAATTTCTCCCTCGAACACTGGCAATCAAGCGCGAAAAGAAAAGTACGCTCTCATTACCTCGCGATACATCCGGACAAATTTTCCTGTTTATCCCTCGACCGCCGATCCGTGTTCTCCCTTTTAAACCCTCGCGCAAACGCTGCCATTTTCACGAGATCATTTAATCCTGCACAAATTCGCGGTGCATATAAAATTCGGATTCTTTTTTATCTCGGACTCGTTTCTTTTACTCTCGGCTTCATCTCGAAATCGATTCGAACCATTTTCGTGTACGATACTATATTCGGTAAAATTTGCGAGCTTCTCCGACTGTCTCGATTGGATCGGCCTATTTACATACGCTCGATATCATTCGTTCAAACGATTCCGTGGAAAATACACACCGTACGCGCGCACGCGATCTAAAAACATTTAACTAGCGAAACGCGATTTTGCATATCGTGGAAACGCGGTTGTAAGATTCCGTCGACAAGAATTTCTAAATTCGTTTTCCTCGAGATAGCTCGATTAAGTTTCATCGAATCGAAAGACGAATTTCGATCAATCGGGAGTGTACCAAAGTCAAGTAAATTCACCTTCGACGGTCTTACGACACGTAAGAAGTCTTAAGAATCCTGTATAAGTCTTCGCAATTCAATTATTCGGACTTATATTACGCAAAACTCTGTAATAATGGAGTGCAACTTGCGAAAAACAAGTTTACATAGAGGTGTACCGAGGTTCGAGAAGAGTAGTTACATGATAGTATTACGCTAATAGAATTACGTGGTATTATACCGATGGATATAAAAGTGTTGCTTCCTGATTAGTATGCCAATCTAGAATTAGCGGATGCGAACAGTTATTATCGAACAAAGGTGTCGGCGAATGAAAGTCGATTCGTCAATTTAATATGGTAAAACTGTAATGCATCGACAACCCACGGTGTTGGAAACTTTCCTTTTATCCTCGTTGGAAAATGATGAAAACAAAAGACCAGGATAGTACCCCAGAGAATGGGAAGAAAATCAACGAGTCCCCCATCGAATTTCCCGACCCGGCTTTTGTTTCCGCGGTCGATGGGGGACAACCAGGGTTAATTCGATCCAATTTCATGCATCGAATTAACCCTTTTCGGCGCTGGCCAAATCCAATGCCCAACGATACAATGTCTTTTCAATAAATCACATTATGTGGAAGGAACAAATTATTATTATTAAAAATCGCGATAAAAATTCTATGGAAAGTCAAGTATAAATTTCGTACAAATTTTTACGGTTTATTCCTCTCGACCTTTTCGCAAATTTCCACAGCTAAATTAAAAACCAAGCAGTCTGCAAATTTTCATTGTTAATCAAAGGCCTACCGGACTGTAAAACTAGCATGGAATTTCCTTGCTTTATCGTGTAACGGTATAAAGAGCGTTCCCTCGTAAGTAGATAAATTTCAGAAACGTAGCTTATAGTAATAAATGGGTGGAAGTTATCCGCGCGTTGCGTTTTCTCTTTCAATTTTTCTGAAGGGAAGAAAAGAAAGAAATAAACGAACGATCCCTCTCCGTGGGGTCACCGTTAAAAATCCTGTCTGGCGTGAAATTATTTCCAAGCGTTGCCGGAGAAATCACGTTTCACTAATGCGATTAGTGTACCGAGCTTGGCGGGAAAAAAGGGACGGAAGAGGATGCGCTCGGGTATCCTTGAAAAACATCGAAGGAATACGTAATTACATAATAAACGTTAAGCCCGAGGATTCGCTAGCGAGCGTGATCGTTCAGATTTCGGAGTCGATAACGAGATCGTATGTTCCACCGCGGGAAACTTTAACAACCGTAAGTTTATCGTTCGTTCGACGATCGCGAACAGAATAGAATCTTACCATCTTGCCAATTTTTTTAGCGAGATCGTGATTTTAGCAGTTTAACGTTGCAACTAACGTGGATGGAGTACAACTATCGTTGATAATTTCGATACGAGAGGCGACTATTTGTCGCAAAAATGATACGTTCGAATCGAAAGTAAATTCGAGGGCAGCCAGGCAAGCGTTGCTTCGAACCTACGAGATAAACGATAATATTGTGCAACGGTGTATAATCGGTGAGAGAATAGGGTCGAAAAGAATAGAACGTTCGCAGGATGCAGCGAGGGAACTGTTTCAAGGATAGCTAGTGGAATCGGACATTCTTAGAAAATGTTCCCAACGTTTCATTAGCATCGCAGACAATTTCATCACGGGTTTGAGGTCGTATCGATGTCGGAACGTGTGTGCGATGCTTACCTGTGTTCGAGCTCTGAATCGTTCATCAACTATTCAGCTTTTAATTGATCAGTTGTTCGTCGATAACAAGGCGTTCTTTGACCTCCGATCACACTTGTACCTACACATTCAATTACCTCGATATCGAATAGTTAGGCAACCGATACACACGAATGCCTAGGTATCTGTTTATCCGCTCGATTGCTCGGTAGTAACAAACCGAGTCGCGAAAAATTGAAAATGTTTATCGAAACTGTTAGAGCTCTTAAGGTTTTTAAGCGAGCGAAAAGATTTTTCGTTAGAAACAAGCATAGTAGCGATTCAATTTGGCTGAAAATTCGCAACGGGAGTTTCGAATGCTGCAAATCCACGGCATGGATCGCCTGGCTACGTTCAGCCGCGTTAAAATCAGCTGCAAACTCTTCCCGAGCGTAATTGACCCATTTCTTCGGGGCCAGGCTTCAACGCAATATTCCAGTTCGCGGTGGCCGAGTAAGAGTCAGCCGTCGAGGAAGAGTCCGGTTAATTCGCTTTAATTCGAGAAGAGGCCGACGAAAAGAGAAAAGGAATGTACTTTCCGCTCTCTTTTCTCTCGTTATTCCATGCTATACTGCACGAGAATAATCCAAAAGAATCAGTTAATTTAACCTTTTACCCACGAATCACGTATTCACGGGTTATCTAAAAAATTGAATAGTCCTGTTTTACGATTCGTAATTTTGCACCGACCCTCTTTTTTTCAGGCACGGAATCGCTTTGTTTCGAAATTCGGACGAGTTCGATCGATGCTTCGTACCGATCGTAGCGGATCAAAGTCGATCGCGTTAATTCGCTTTTGATCATTTATTCGTCTTTCCGAACGTTCGATTAACGCCGGTTCCTGTATTTTTGAACATAACGAAGATATTTAGGTCGTGCACTTTCGAACACTCGCTCCCATAAGAAATTCAGACGGGGTCGATAATGTTCTCCGATTCAGCTCAACGAAAATTCATTATTACAGACCGTGCTTTTAATTAAACCGTCCGATGTCCCCTCTGTCGTTGGATTCTTCATAAACTGCACGGCAAAAGAATAATCAACTCCTCCTTTCTCCTTCAATTAACGGAGCAGGAAATATTCTATTTCGAGGCGAAATACGAATTATTGGAATCCGTTCTAATTTCATTTCATTCAGCCTCGGAGAGGAGCCGGAATCGGACAGAAAGAAGAAAAAAAATGTTTGAAGGCTGCAGAATATAGGCAGAAAAGAGTGAAACAAAAAATTGGAAAAGAAAAAAATAGACGAGTGGAGTCCGATCAGGTGGTGCAAAGAGTGAGCAACGCGAACCGGGGAGGGTTCAAGCGAGAGCAAGAGGAAACGGAAGAGAGCAAAGAGGGTGAGTGGAGAGGGTTTAGGGGTGTGTGCAAGCAGAGGAGCTTTCACGGAGCCAACCGGCCGCTTTTACGGAGAAAAGCTCTGACGCTCGTTAGTGGAAAAATCCAATTTAGTTGGCGAACAGTTAGAGGGACGGTCCGCGAACGGAATCGCGAACAATACGCGCAACAAACGCCATCGTCACCGAACAGATACACAGAAAATATGCCCAACGAGCTTGTTTTATTGATTAACAATCGAATTACGCCCAATCGACGGCGCATTGATTTGAATCATCCGTGCACCCTGTTTTCACGCGTTCGTCCAATATTTTTTTCTACCACCAAACAACCGTACAATGCACCCGTTATTTAAATATCCAACGGACAGAGTATTCGATGCAAAGAAAATACCTAACGCTTATTTGGATATAACGAAATACTTAAATACATAAATAGTAATGCTGCTTAAGGCATTTTCTATCTCCCCGATATGTAGCTAGGCAATGCTTAAATCCTCGGGTATATGGTACCTAATATAAACGGATCGATGTATAAGGGAAAAGTCGGGTGTGTTATCTGACGGCGTTCCATTCTGTCTAAAGAGCTCGTTGGACCGTTCGAAGATCGCCTCGAGCGAAATTTTCTAAGCGACTGGCCACGCATCAACCGGAATTCTCCATTATCGGTGCACGCCAATCGGCCGTTTCCGGCCGGCGCAATTACACGCGGGTATACCGTCAATTAGGCAAGTTTAATCGGTAATCGGATTACCAGTGATACGCGTTATGCCACATCGTTGCACACTCGCACAGAAACGCGCGCGTACATCACTGCTCGAAAAGTCAAGTTAATTTAATCGTTGTATCGTTCGAGCAATTACGAGTATCGCAACGCTCATTACTCTGTCGAGTGACAAACTGTTTTTATCGATCTCTATTTTAGCCCAAGTTCAACTCGCCGTTTGTACGGCATTAATCTGTTTTCTTTTCCATCAGATTATTCGCGGCCATTCAAAACAGATAGCCATCGAAGGTAAATTGTTTCGAACATTGTTCTTCTCGATGTTGCTGGCAGCATGGATTCTGCGTTTAGATACGAGTTCCCGCGACTACCAACTTTAATCTACCCTCCTCGAAAAACAGTTCAGCGATTCGTTTAATTAAAAATTCGCCGAGTAACTTTTCGTTTCTGCTTCCATAACGTAACTTTATTCAACGATAAGCCGCATATATATGTATAGAATTGTAATTCGTGTACATCCAATAATTACCGAAACGTACACACGCATACTCGATCGTTTCATCTACAATCTATACCGTGGCTTCCAATTACGGATCCATCGACACGCTCATCTGCATAGTTCTACGTTCGGAGTGTCGATTATAATTTTGCTCGCGAGCCTTCCAAGCTTTTGCGGTCAACCATTGTTTGTCCCGAGTTGTGTTTGCTTGCTTGTTACATTGTTTCGCGATCGGTGAACGAGCTTGTTAATGAAATGCATCGTTTAATCAGCGACGATCGACGCGAATCAGCGCGATTCGTGGCATTTTGTATTCGAAATAAACTTGTTAGGCTAGACATTGGAATAAATTTCTGCGACTCGTTCCGCTCGGACCGGCAAACTTTTAAGTTTTAAGACAAGCATACTTTAGCTAACAATTGCGCGTGGAATGTTCGCGACGTGATTACGAGGAAACTTTGCATATCTGTGGAGAGCGAACGAAATTATGAAAGGTGTACTCTCCTTCGACCGAAGCGGAACTTTGCAGTTCGCTGGCGTCTCACAAACAATTTGGTTGCGATTGTTTGAAAACGATCCTCCGTAAATGCGACTCGTACCTGTTAGATGGTTTTAACTTGTCTATTGTCAAGCGTTCGAGTTATTTCTACCGACTTATTATTGTTCCTGGAGCTTAAATTACGATTATGGTAGTTACGAATACGATAATAAAGTTTTTAGTATAAAATGGTCTTCCAGATACAGTCAACCGAACTCCAAACTTTCAATACGATTTCGTAACGTAAAATTATCATTTATCATCTGAAAACTTAAAGCTCGAAGTTCGATGAAAAGATCACGCTAACACCTAGATGTCATTAAAATAAAACGATCCGTTCCAGCAGCTTATCAAAAAAAATAGACATCTCTGTGATGTCATGGAAAATCGACAACGTTCGCTTTTTTTTTTCATATAAATTTCAGGTCAATAAAGATTGAATAGGATCGAAAACTAGACTCGAAGCTCGACGTAACCGCAACTGTCCTGTCCAAAAATATATCTCTTTTCAGTTATTTATCGCGAGAGGTTTGGTTTCGAACAAAAGTTTGGCGATATTCAAAAAGCGAACTTCACTCGTGGCTAGGTTTTTACGAAAGAAGTAATCCCCCAGAATCGATGCGTAGATCGTCGATGGCAGTCAGGTCTCGACCTTTCGCCAGCGGTACACCTTCAATAGAGTATTTGGCTGCTCTCCAAACGATCGCGACTGCTAGGATGATGATCGAAATGAGATTCCGGGTTGGATGTACGGAGACCCAAGCAAGGATCAGTCTTATGGAAAGACGTCGATCGTCGGACAGAGCGAGAGCGTGAAAAATATTCCTGCCTCGTTCTGGATTGTCGCGTATCCTCCGTCGTTTCGGGGACCGCTTTTAAAGCCACGCGAGTATTTCGAAAACGCGTCATTTCGGGATCGTTTGTCAGACGCGGAAATTCCAAACTCGAAAATTCGCGTTGCTTTGATCGGCGTTGAAAAGCCGGCCGTTTGAAGCCAAATATTTTCGAATCCACGCACCGTAAATAATCTGTATACGATTCCGTATCCGATGCTCTTTGAATCGTGCCACGATATCGCGTATCTAGAAATAAAAGGAGCAGACTTTTAAATTTGAAAATCCGTGACTTTCGTTTTCCAGGACAAATCCTGCTACGAGATTTCCAGCGTTCTATGACCAACCGATTTCCTGCAGAACCGTCGTGTTCGTATCCAGATACGTTTTATACGTGACGCGGGTGCAAGCGTTGTCGGAAAATTCTGAGAGCCCGGAAAGGTCGATTCTTTTTCGACGTTGTCCAGAGATCAAACGCGGATGAAAAAGAAACTCACCCAACACGGTACCCATATAGGAATGCGATGGATCGAAGTCGATGGGTCCTGCGGTGCTCTCGAACGTTGCGTCTTTGCTGAACAAGCTCTTGTCTCGAATTAACCGAAGCGTCCAGTCTCTGAAAGGATAACATGGATTATAGTACGGTACAAGTTCTCCCTCGAAATACGATATTTGCTTAAATATTAATGGCAGACATTACTTAACGTCGGGTACTAAATTTCTAAATACTTGGATATTCTACACCGCAGGAATATCTGCTAGATATCAAGCGTCCGTGCGCTTCCACATCCGAGTACTCGGATATCCCGTGTTACGAATATACACCAAGGACGTTCATTTTGTAACCCGTAACCTATCAATTATCGATTTCGACGCGTGTAATAATAATCTCGATTCTGATACGCAAAGAGAAAAAGAATCCGATAATCCGATAGCGCGCGAAGAGAATCGATAGTAGGGATTAGTAAGAAACGCAAGGATGGAACTTCGTTCTCAAGTTCATACCATTTATGCAAATACCGGTTGATCCTCTTCGACCAACGGAATCGAGGTTTTCCACGAGTGTTGGTTTACCGTTTTCGATCGCTCTTTCGAACAGATTCACCGGCGAAGAACGCGGCAAGAGAATGAATCACAAACAAGGAAGCCTTTAAAACGCCATAGCTGGTTAACCTTGCGTTTATACAGCTCACAATAGCGTGCTCGTTCGAGGAACAACTTAATTGTCGTCGATTATCGAGGGTCAGTGGTAACAGGTAGCGATTAGTTAGCGACGTCGCTACGGGTTACAAATTTTCGACACGTTTTCGAATAATCGACGTTCCGACAACAACGAAGAACCGTCAATTTAATTCGAAAACTTCGATCTTGAACGACCGTCAAAATCTGCGAGTACATCGAACGTCCGTCATCGGTAACGAGCGATCGAATCGGATGTCGGTGGACACGAGAGAGAATCGTCGGATCTGTCAGCTAGTCCGTGATTCAGCGATTTCGATGACGTTGGCCGCGGTTAAAGCGGATCTGGCTTCCCCAGGTATTTTCTTCCTAGCGAAGAGCAAAAGGGGTCACGCCGGGTTAAGCCGAAGGACGAAACCAAGCAAACGTCTACGAAAACAGGGACTCGGATCAGCGCCGCGATCACTTTTGGACGAGGTATATTAAATTTAGAAACGTGAAAGGATTCAAACGATCAGCGTGACATTGAAACACGCGGCTTTAGACTACGAATCGCTTTGCTTTACCTCTGGATCGCGTACGGAATGCGCCGCGGCATGGTGCGGCGTGTGCGCGACCGCGTAATCCGGGATTCGAGGCTAAATGGATTAGGTTTAATTAAATTCGCGAACGAGCCGGGATTATTCGAATCCGCGTAGCCGAATAAAATATTCCAGCTCCGCTCTACTTTCAATTATTCCCGGTCATGTATCGAATGGATCGGGCGAGAAAATAAACGAAACCGATGGTACAATCCCGTTCAACGTTACGAAGGTCTAAGAGTCCTTCGAACATTTTATTTTTAAGCGAGTCCAACGCTGTTCCATCTGATTTTTTAATTATCCGATAACGTCGGGTTCGAGACCTCGATCGCTTCGTACCGTTACGTACATGACAGGGGTAATTTTCCATGGACAGGAAACAGATTTCGGACAAAAGGAGGCACAAAGAGGATCCTTCTTCTCCTTTGTCTCGTGGAAAGAATTTAATACGGGGTATTAGCATAAAGAAACGAGCCACGGAACGAGCCAGGGCATTACGCAAGGTATTAACGGAAGAGCAACAATTAGTCGTGGATCCTCGTGCCTCGAGCACTCGACGTTGCATCGGGTGCAATTATTTTCCTAACTCGATACCGGAGCCGTTGCGATAACGGTGAACCTTGTTTTCTTCTCATTCTCCGTGGGCTTTGTGTTCTTTGTCTCTCGAAATTGTTACAGTTATGAGATTCGTAAAGAAACATCTGAATACTCGCTGTCGCGTGCAATTACGTAAATGACGGTATTTATGCGAAGAAATCGTGTCAGATTGTATACGTTCGAGAATCAAGGATCGTTCTATAGCTGGCAGTGGGCAGTTTTCGTTTAACGGTTTACGCAACGATCAGGATATTTCGTACGTAGATTTTCTGATCGTAGGCGAGAACGAAAAAGGAACCGCGTTCGAAAGGAATTCTCGATCGGTAGTCGGCGAAGCCCGCAAGCGAGTTCGTAAACAACGCGCATAGATGTTCGAGAGAATTATGCCCGGGTACGTAGCCGCCGGTCACGTACCGGCAGTAAAGAGTCATGGAAATATCCGAACGGGATCGTTCCTCGGAAAGGAAGTCCGGTCCAGCGGTGACAAAGGTAAAGGGAAACGCACCAATAAACTGTCTCGTAGATCGTTTGCGAGCGGTGAGTTAAATCGCGTCGGTTGGCCCGATACACAAAGAGGACGCGTCGCGACGCTGCACGTAGTACAAGTTCTTTTTCCCTCTCCCACGCTATTATCTTGCCAGTTTGTACCAGGTGCACCAGGGTGGAAACATCGAGGGGCGTATGGTGGCGAGGGAGAAAGAAAAAGAGGAGGTACGACATCGAAGAGGGTGGAGTGCTGCCTCATCCTCTACGCGCTCTCTGCTTTACATTTTATTGCCTGCCGTGAATTCGACCGATTTACATAAAGAGACGAACGTTCCGCTTCTCTACCGTCGACCGCATCGCGACGCGATTTTCGCCATGAGAATTCGCTAACGCGAATTTTTCCCGCATACCTATGCCGGCGTTCATGACCACTTAGATACTTGGTCCCCTTTTTATTGTCGAAGACATTTCTCCAGAGACGCGCGGAGATCTAACTTCGTTCGCAGAATTTTTACAAGATTATGCGCTGGGTATACGGGGCTATAACGCGGACTTCCTCTCGTTAAAGGTAAAAGGATGTTCCCACCTACGAAGCAGATCTATTTTTAAAATAAGAACGTTAGACGAGTCACCGATGAATAATCCTTTCGTTTATATCGGTGTAAACGAGCTGCTTTCATTTTTTATTCTTAATAATGTTATTCGTAAGAGTAGCCTAAGGCGAGCCTATGATTTTGACCGGCAATATCTAGCGAGTTATGCGCGTCGTCGTGGTTGGTGCGATGAATCTCTGGCACGCGTGTTATGCGAAACTTGAGCACACGTCGATGCCTAGAAAGGTAGTCACCGGGTTGGGTGGGGCCCGAAAACGGATCGAATTCGCAACAGGTAAAGATTAAAAATTATTTCTTGTATTACGATGAGTAATCGAAAGTCGAAAGAAATCGAGAGGACAAGAGAATTTTGAAGGACATTAACGTTAAGAGGAACGCTATTAATTGGCTGCTTCGAATCCTCGACTAACGTGGTTAATTTGGCGGCTAGATCGATTGATTCGAAACCATGACAAACAACCGCAAACCTTTCGATGGAAGCCTCGATCTATCGGTTCATTAGTCGAGGAACGTTAGGTCGCGTTTTTATGAAAGCTTGTTTCCGTTTCGATCGACAGAAACTCGCCGGGTCGAAAAAAGAAAGTTCCGTTTGAACTTTAACGAATTCCCTTTCATCCGTGGTAGGAACCAATTAAAAATTCGTCGATTGAAAAAGTTTAATGCGAGTCCACCGTAAATGGGGTGAGAGTATTCGATAATTGAATATTTAATTGCTCGCAGATATTTCGTTCGGGGCACAAAAGTTCACGAGTTGTATTCGTATTTTCCTTTTAAACGGAAGCAGCAATTATAAATTGTTGAACCGGTCGTCGCGTTGGCTTTGCCCGTGGAACATTTATATCGTCTGATCGTGTAATTAATTTCGTTTAAGGGAAATACGGGAAAGCAAATATAACATAATTTCGTGGAAACAGAGAGAGAATTGTATTATCTACGTGGTCGTATCGCTTTCAAATGTCAGGATAGCTTTGTTTCCCGGCTTGATATAGCGCCAAGTATCCACGGCTAACTCCGTTGTTAATCTACACCCTTTGCCAGTAGCTTCACGTGTGTCTGCACACGTGTACACGCGAACACCACTGGATAGAATTTACGCGAACTTGACCTTAATTGGATTCAGGCCTACTGACCCGACTGGCCAACGCGTGTAAGGGTGTTCGTACGATTACGTCGAGTGCCGCGAATGATCTTTTCGGTTCACCGATTAACTACCTCTCTCCAAAAGCGCCGACAACGATCTCTACAAAGTTCGTCGAAGAGAGACGAGTTGTTTCTGATCTTACGAGAGCTACCTGACAATTCGTTAACCCTTTCATGGCAGATGACGCGTACGAGCGTCATGGAAACGCGCACACAAGCATTTTACTCGAGAACAACTTACTTGTCTAGTGCTTTCAGGTGCAGTAGCAGAGGTTGATTGTCGACCACGTCGAAGGCATCGCGACGCATCCGGTTACGATGGTGTCTCAAGGCTGCGGTATCATAAGAGGCCACCTCGTAATAGCCGATGTACGAACCGTGTGTGATACCTGAAACACAATCACGGAAACACCGTTCCATTAGTTGACACGTACCGAAGAAACGTGCAACCTTTTACTTCGAGTAAACCTCGTGACTCGTAGTTGCATTTTCAGGTCGCAATTTAACTTTGTGAAATAATTAAAACGCTGACAATAGTCTCGGATTTGTTTGCGAAGAAATATGTACACGGAGTAACGTATGACGCTATCTACTTTTCAGCACAGTGAATATGCTTGTCTTGCTAGGGACGACTGAATCTACTAAAACGCCAGTGGCTACGCATTTCACTTGGTCAAACAAATTGTAATAAAAGGAATAGGAAACTTAATAACGCTAGTAATTTAGCACGGCAAATTAAAGTAATTAAAATTATCACGGCAAATTAAAATGGATCCTCGCTTGAAATTAATAACACCAGATATCGCGTGATCGCATCATTTCCTATGTGCAATGAAGTCAGTATCGTTGATCGTAATTATTTGAATGGCCATATTATATCTTGAATCACTCGACATTTCAAAACCGCTCATCCGTCGGAATAATCCTCGAATAATACGCAACACGTTTCGCGTTAACCTCCTCTCGCTTCGCGGCCTTTTAACAAAACCGAACGACAAAAGAGAAATCATTGTAAACGATTCTAAGGATCTTGCAAAATTCGAAGCTGGGTAGATCAGGAGCCAGGACTTTCACCGCGACAAGGATACCGAGTGATTTCGCGAGGCTTGTTCCAAAGAAACGAGACACCTTTTTGGACACGTTTCCACGAGAGCGTTGTTTAACTCTCGCGATTCACCGTTCGTATAAATTATCGCTTTCGATCGTCTCGTAAGAATACCTTCGGCGACCGAATTTCAGACAGATACGTTCGCGAGTTTTACAACCGACAATCCTCTTAGGGATACGGAAACTTGGATTTGTAACGGATACAACTAAAAGTGTTTCGTTTGTTTCGCGGACGATGCATCGTCACCTTCGCGAGCAGCACGGTGAAAAGACAGCAAACATCTCGAATCCGTGTACTTACAATTAGAGTACCGTTCGAGCGCGTGTTTCGAGCGATGCTCGAGATAAAACGGAACGTTGATTCCAGTAGCATAACGTTTCAATCGTTCCTCTCGACTGCAACCATTCGTCTCTTTACTTATGGAATAACTTTCAAAAATTATAATGCATACTTTGGATAGATGGAATAGGACGCGTAGGATACGTCTCCTTAAACGCAATCGTGAACAGTGGAGTTTAACGGCACCTCGTGGCGATCTCCAACCACTTCGTAAAGCTCGTAGCTTACGCAACAGTGGCCAATAATCTAATTATCGTGGCTCGTTATCGATGCCTTGGCCCGCGGCGAGTTAGAACGCGACCACCCTCCGATAGATACTACGTGTCGGATCATGGCGTGCTCAACTATCTCGCTTTGTAAAAAAGAAGAGGAAAACGATCGTATGACCGATATTGCACTGGCAATGCCATTATAGTTTGCTTAATATAACGGAGCAGATTAATTAAAGGAACAAAAAGAGGGAAATTTTTTCTCGGCATATTTTCAATAATTAACGCAATCTACCTCGCTGCATACATCGGGTGACGGCCTAAATAATTATCCTTTGAATGCGCTATGAATCGCTACCTACGACCGTTTCTACGGTGACGTTAAACGGCAACATTCACTGTCGCTTACGGGGAAAAAACTGGGCAAAATCACGGCAGAATTGCGAACGTGTAAAACCTCGCTCGCATCTGCGGAATTCCTTTCGTTACATTCGTAAACTGAATCCACTCGTGGAGCAGGCTCGGTAAACAGTTCTTTCAGAAGGACCAACTGTAAGCGACCGTGTCCTACTTACGTTAAAAACCGACGCGTTAATTACGTTCGCGAGACAACCGTGAAAACAGAGGGATATCTTATTCTAAATTGAAATCTCGTGACACCCTTTTCCTTCGACTGGAAAGCCGTCGAAACATCGGTTAAATGGAGTGAAAAATTAAGGATCGCCTCGAGAATACGAGGCGAGTTCGATCGGAACGTTCGAAATTCACTCCGTATTGGGGTGGACATGTAACGGTGCGAGTTTCATTTTAAATTCGTACCGTTGGACAATCAGGATTACGTAACGTAATCGGGCGGGGATGATAAATAACCGCGTGGAACTCACCTGAATGGGGTGGCACAGGACGAAGAGGCGAGGCGATGGCAGTGACGATAAGAGAAGCAAAAATCAGAAAGAAAATCGGGCTAGTTTCGAGTCGAGGACGAGGTTCGATCAGCTTCGAGGGGTACATCGCGGTCCTTTGGACCCCGTTGTGCCCTCCGCTACCCCTATCCTCCTCCTCTTCCTCCTCCTCTTCCCCTTCTTCGTCGACGGTCAGGGCCGCAGCACGCATCGGCTCGACGTTGTTCGGCCCAGCAACAACTAATGGCGCTATCTGCCTTTCGTCGAACAACCGACCACCACGCTTTGCGAGTCACCCACCAGACTCATCTCTCTTTTTCTTTCGTCCACCCTCTCCTTCTTCCTTCTCTTCCTCTTCCTCCTCCAACGAACGTGCTTCCGCCACGTCCTCTTTCTCTTCTTCGTAGGTCGCTCAACCTTTCGACCCTCCTTCGCTTTCAACCTTTCCTCTTTTTTATTTCTTCACCGTGTCCTAGCTACCTTCCTTGATCGACTCCTCTTCGTCCTCACAAACGATCGATTCGGCTCCTGAGGGAAAAAAACGATCCAACACTGGATTAATTTAGAAATAGGCTCTCCGAGCTCGGACTTTTGATGCTTTCGACTTTCGGATACACGTCTAAGTTTCGTTTCGTGGACAAAATTTTGGAGCTTTGTTACCGTATATCCCCTTTGTCACGAGGGTAAATTGGATTAGAGAGATTGACCGGTCGTGGATACGAACGGAAATATTCCCGATGTCTACGGAGCGACCCCAAGAATATTGAAATATTTCAACCAGAACATACTATGGTTTTTAACTGGTTGCTTAAATATTCTGTCATGGACAAAGTGATTTAATCAATTACTAAAATATTCATTTTGTTGGCTCAGTGGAAAGGCTCCTTCGAATGTCTTCCACGAGAGAAAGAATTAAAACCCGACAAATTAATTTGAAAAAGAGAAGAAATATTTAATCGTGCATGTATCGATGTTCCACGAAAAGTTAACGTATTCTCCTTGCGGCGCAACGTTCGGTAATAACATAAACTCAAAGAGCTTTCCTCGATGAACAAAGCTGATCGTTCAAAAGCACGGGAATTTCGAAACGGAAAAAAACGTGGAAGCTTTTCACGCGTGAAAACGGCTTTACACGAAACGTTTTACTCACGCAGTCCAGCGTACCGCAGAATATACTCCGTTGACCGGTTGTCGCGGTAAACTTCCGCCACGAGCTATGGAAAAACGATATTCAAAGTTTGTACACGATCATCAATCGACTGTCCATTTCGGAGTGCAACGATTTTTGCTCGCCTCCGCGATTCTATCCTCCTGCCAACTATCGACTAACGGTTCGCGATCTTGCACCACGCTATAACTCGATGCGCATACTTTGTTAATTACGAAACGACGGAATGCCGATGTTCTCCGCGATTCTAATTGTTGGAATTGTCATCGCAATCTCGAGAATTTTCTCGATAATAATGTCGCGCGAATAAATTTTATTCCCCATTTGAAAATCTTCTTGAAGCAAGTATCGGCTTAGCCAGAGAAAGTGTATCTATTTGACCCTCTCGACTCGAATGGAGAATTCGTAATGAAGGACCCCGAAGGAGTACTTTCAGACGTAGCTACGGCCTGCTTCTTTTTCTTTCTTTTTGTAAAATCCTCTTTGACCCGACCCTCGAAAAAAGGGTATAGCGTGACCTAGGGAAGCTGTTTCGACACTTAGAAAAAAATCGCACGAACGTGTAGAAGTACAGTGCACTAGGGACCTCTCCGAACACACTCTCCAACTTCCTGCGAACTCGCTCACACGTGACACGCATACCTCGCCGTAACAATGCGCGTTTCCTTTTTCATTTTTATAATTGGAAACGTTTTTTCCGTGTTTCTATCAATCGAAAGTCGACCGATATATTATACGCGATCATTTACCGTTGTACAACGGTAAAGATCGGAGCGGCAGCGCGGAGAAATTAGACGAGCGTGTAACTCGTGAATCAGCTTTCCGTTTCTACGAGTTACACTCCCGCGAATCGGTGATCAAAGTCAGTCTAGTGTACGATCTTTACGGTGATACGTAGATAAAATAATTTATCGATGTGCGCTGAGACAGCTACCGTGTACGCGGAACGGTAATTCGTAGCCAACGTTTTACGTTTTCATCTGGAATTCACTGACATCGGAAAGAAGAAAACCGGTCCTTCTTTTCCAACCGAAATGGGTCTTTACCGTGCAACCAACCATTTCATCGTTATTTATGTGCAAGCTCGTAGTCACGAAAGGGTTTATTCATTTTCTTATTTTTTATCATTTTCCATTTACGTTTTCGTTTTCTCTTTCTTCCGGCTTAACAGCTTTCTCGAAACACGGTTTATCAAACCGGCGCACGCCGTTGCGGAAAAACAAATAACGACGGAAGGAAAAAAGGAAGAAAAAACGAACGAATTCGAGATACGTCTCCGCAGCGACAATTTGCAAAATTGTCTGGCGCGCACCGCTCGCTCGACGATCCACGAATGATAATCGTCCCACGTAAAACCGCGATACGCCTTTGTCCTCTTTCCACGATGTGCAATGCGCGATACACGCCTTCGTGAAAGAACAATGAAACGACAAGCAGGATGCAACGCGAACACGCGACGATTCTACGCTCCGATCTGCTCAGACGAAATATTTAATCCTTCGGGAACATTGAACTTTTACGTACGCGTTCGAGAGCTGTTCGATGTGACCCGAAAATCTTCGCGGTCAAACGTGCCTCAGTTTTCGAAAATCTCTCCGCAATTTCCCCTCGGATTAACTTTGCTGGATTTGCAAATCTTTTCAACCTTTCGATAAAGCGTACTTGAAAGATCCACGAAATAACTCGTAACGAACCATCAACCGGGAGCCATAAAGAAGCGTTAATGGTTCCTAAAAGCTACTCGAAACGGAGGCTCGGCGAGCCGTGACCGAGGTCGATCAGGCTATATGCACGCGAAATCTCGCGGTTCGCTATCCATTTCCCATTTCCATCCAGCGAAATTTCATCGATGCTTGCTCGAGTTCTAGCCAAACGTAACGCGGTATAAAAGAGCTCGAAGGAAAACCACAGGAAAATATAGCAGACTGGAGTTGTACCGCTCTTCGAGTGGATCAGCGATCGTATTCTACGACGACGACGACGACGACGACTACGATCGGAGCATCGAACCGATTTTCCATCGAGCGAGTCTCGCTGAACCGTTACCTCGTAACGCAGTCGGCGAAACGCGTTTCGTGTAACGTTCTAAACGTTTGTCGGAGTAACTTGTAAAGCAATTACCGCGGCCGTCGTCGGCGTAGCCGTCGAGAGGGCAACGTCCAAAACTTGGAGCGAAAATTCGACCTGGTCGATCGGAGGAGATGGGTCGTGTACGTGCGGCGATTATTAATCTCTGGCTTAAGGCGATTACCAAACGGGATCTCTATTGTTACGTTGAACTACGCCGAAAAGGGGAATTAAATTCCGTAGAGTTTCGAGGGATTATTAATTTCCAGGCCGTCAGTGATTAGCGTCGTTAAATCGATCCGCTAAATTAAACTATAGGATACTCTTGGACAGTGATTGTACCGTAATAGTAATCGTTTAATTAACGAAGTAAATTGTTACGTTCTATCGGACAATATCGGTTGAACGTTAAGTTGATTCGATTAGGCGGCTAGGTATTATACGAGATCAGGTGAATTACGCGCTTAACTTTTTCGTCCGATAACTTTGCCGTGTATTAACGGTTTCTTTCGTACGCGTCCGAGGAGAATTTGCTTAGCAACCATCGAGCGTCGAACAATAATAATTTCGAGCCGCTAACCGACTCCCTGAGCTATTTTTTGATATAACTTTCACGCAGATAAGCATCCTTATGCAACGCTCGTTACATGCGCCAACCCGATATCCGGTAGTCGCGCTTAACGCTCGCTTTTGCCATTAAACGACGATTAAAGTCTCGCTGAAACTTTTGCAATTTACCGCACAGCTAATCCTTTGACTCTCCTCCTTTCTCTCTATAGATACTTATTTATCTCGTTTGTGAAACTTTCCGACGATGTATCGATACGAAAGATCCTCCTTCTCGACCTATAATCGTGCCCTTCGATCCGCGCGCGCGTTCCCTCGAAATGTCAGCATCCGAAGAAACCGCTTCCGTCGGTGGTGTTCCGGTGACGTCGCGAACGCGTTCAACGCGACATTTAAATCCCCCGTAAGTGGTGTGGCGGTGGCGGTGATGCGCGTGCAATCCGACGTAAACAAACTGCTGCACGAAAGCAGAAAAATCGCGCGATTCGTCGGAGATCCGGACGAATTTCGCGGTGATCGAAGGAGCGTATCTAAGGCTAAGGTGACTCGATCGCGAGAGAGAAATCTGGCATCGTTCTCAGGCGACTTACGTTCCCTTCGACGGCTTCGCGTATACACGGGAGAAGGTACGAGGAGAGAAAGAGAAACGGCAGGAGTAGACGTACAGGAGGAAAAAAAATGACGGTGCTTGGTCGCGCGAGAAGCAACGAGGAGAGAGAGACAGGGAGAGAGACCGCGAAAGAAAAGGAGAGACTGGCACGTAGAATATTGCGCGTGCTCGCTGTTCTCGCATCCTATCTGACACCTACCTATGCACGGCGGCTCGAGAGTCCTGCCACGGGCGTCCTTTCCGCCAGGATCCTCGTCCTTCCGACCGGTTCTGGCAGGGTCGTCGATTATTCATTTACGGTCATTGTACCGCATCCTGTCGCACCACGCACCAACTATGCACAAAGTACCACACGCGTGTCGTACAGCAACGACCGCTTAACGCGCTCTCCCTCTCTCGTCGACGAACAAAGAAATTTCGTGAACGAAGACAGACACGGGGCGAGAGAGAGAGAGGAGCAGGAGAAGAAAAGCACACGCAACGCAACTTTCACCCTAACGAGGCAAACAGGAACGCGTTCCGCGTCGTACTGACGGGAATACTCGTGACTCGCGCGAACGAAGACTCCGACTCCGAGGACAACGACTTCCCCCGCCACGATCGCGTTCGACCCAGCTGTGCTGCGCCCTCTCTTCCTCTCACCCTTTCACCCTCTATCCAACCGACTCTCCTCTATCCGTTCTTATTCACTCGATAGCGCGTTCTCTTTCCTTTCGAAGATCCCTTCCATGTCTGGACGCGGACCAACGCTTTCCAATAGTGGCACGCTGTACCACCAACACGACCATCCAGACACCCCACCTTGCTCGTCCTATCCCGACTCCTACCATCCTGTAACTTGACCTTAGACGTCGGTCAAAGGAAAAGCGCGTTTCTGAAACAGAAGGGCGATCGAAGGGTTTACGATCGCTCTTGACTTTCCGTCCACGATGCATGCACGCTTTGCTATCGATCGATTAGTTTTCTCCTTTCCTTTCTATACACTTTTCCATTTCAATAATCTCTCCTATACCCACGCAGCATTTACTTGGAACGATGTTAGTTACCTGTCAACATTTTGTTAGCTAGCACTTTCAGCATTTATCACCTTTTATTTGTATGTCGTGGTACCAAAAAGAGATGTACGGGTACCGTACGATCGCGTGAATTTGGAATCGTTCTTGTTCGCGTATTCGGAAGGTTCGTCCCCAACCGTAGACGGAGGCAAATGCAAGAAAAGTGACGACGCGATGTCGTCGAAGTGGGGACGTTCGGCGAACGAGGGGCCCCTTCGTGGAAAACCCCTGCTGAAGGTTTATTTAACCCCTCGATTTTGTTACCACCTTTATAACAAAACGATGTTTAGTTTACGGAATATCCTCCCCTCTTTGTTTTCTCTTTACGTTCACGATTGTCATGGAGTACATGGTTTTTATTTTCCTGTATCCTCTTCCCTCATTTTCCCAATAAAAATAAGAGAATAACAGAAGTACGAGAAGGATGCATGTACGTTACTTTTCCGAAAGAATCGCAGAAAAATTGACAAATAAATATTTAATACGTTCAATCTGGGCAAATCAAAAAAGCATGAATTTTTATGTAAAATTCAAATGAAGATCGATCGATCGCAAGTGGTAAAGGATTATCTCGATTAGTGTTGGTCGCGTCCGAAGGCGTCGCCTCTGTACGATGAAGAGAAGTCAGGTGTAGTTAGATGAAATGTCAGAGCGTAACGAACCCAGCATTTCCTCAAATAACGTTACTTGACACGTAAACTAAAGGTGGAAAAATAGAAGTTTTCATACAACTTTTGTATAAGATCGTTAAATATGGTAACTACAGATATATTAATTTATTGATACATCGATTTCATGGTAATGTTTTGCATTGCAGGCTCGTTATTTTCGAGAAGAGGATATAGATGGTACGTGCATTTGTTATCCTTTAACTTGTGATGCTATGCAATTGTTTTGTAAAGTACAAACATGTATTATCTTTCCAGAATTTAGAGAGTGCTTCTACTTGTTCGCGAGAAATGGACACATACGTACATTAGATGAACTTACTATCATTATGAGATCATTGGGGTTGAGTCCCACCATCGCAGAGCTAAATAAGTACCTAAAGGATAAAGGTATTAATAAATTTAAATGGTAGGTACAGGGACAAAGTTCATAAAGTTATAAGTTCTTGCTTTCAGGTGGAAAAATGTCCTTTGCTGATTTTTTAGAAGCGATGCATCTACAAACTAGAGCAGAAGACCTTCCAAAAGAAGTGATAGAAGCTTTCCAAGCAGCAGATAAGTTTCGTAGTGGCACTATACCTGCTCGACAATTGGCTCACATGTTGCTCCATTGGGGTGAACAATTGAGCACCAAAGAAGGTTTGTTTCATTCGTTACATATTTGTTTATGATGATTAACTTCTTCCTGTATACCTTACAGTGGAGCAGATTTTTAGGGAAGCTAATGTTTCTCCAAATGGACACGTTAAGTATGAAGATTTTGTGAAAATAGCTTGTGCACCTGTACCTGATTACTATTAAGAACGATTTATATATTTTTCGAATGACATTTTTATAAAACATTTATATTTACACTCGCCCAGAGTCCCTAAATTCTTATCCTATTGTTAATAAAAGAATACCGTCGTAAAACAGAGGCTTTATTTCCGTACCAGTTTATCTCTGGTAAACAAACGCTATACATCTTATTTTTAAAGTACTTATAGTGAATCGATTCGATATCGCTTGACACACGTATATTTACAGACCACTTAACGAATTATCTCCTTTACTGTATAAAAAAGGAAGAGAATTGCCAAGATCGTTCCTAAAAGCGAATGAAAGAAAGAGAAACAAAAAGTGATCGTAATACCTTACTGAACATCGAAGGAAAGACCATCGATTCTTATTCGAAACAAAGTTATTCCCGTGTTCTCGACATTCTATTCGCACGGATTTGTTAACCCTCTTTGGCGATATTCGTAGTCGGTGGTGAGCCGCACAGTATGACGGTGGTACTGACGATCGTCGTCAGGAAAAAGACGCACAAAAGTGCTCGATCGCTGACCAAAGCGACCTGTTTCCAATCCAATTCCATCCTTTCCCGACGATCTTGCTCCGCCAGTCGCTTCTCGTTCCTCTCGATCGTCGCGTGTACTCTTCCCAGGACTCGCGACCATTGCGCTTCAAGGCCACCTTCTTTTCCTAGATCTGCACCAGTCGTTGGTTTTTTCCAATTCATTGTTCTACGAGGAGCTCGAAACTCACCCAAACTTGGACTGCTACTGTTGCTTTCCTCCCTTCTGCTCACGAACTTTGGCGATGACTGCGACTGTGCCACTTCAGGTTTACAATGCAACGGACAGTTGTTCTTTCTTCTGGGTGGCTCGACCGGTTCCTATCGAGAAACGTCACTTTGTTACCACAATTTACTCAATCTAAACTAAATATCTTAAGTTAAATAACTTCACTCGATAACTTATACCGGGCGATCAAAGTTTTCTCTATGAACCATAAAATCTCGCGTTAAGGCAAACTTTACCGATCTCTTCTCCTCTTGGAAATTCAGGAACACTATCCTGGCAAGTTTATCCAAGAACAAAGATCGAACGATTCCCGGTACTCTGGTTCCTCGAACGCCGCGATGGTGAACGTTCAAAGTAACCACGGCTAAACCCAAAGCGAAAGATACCAAGCAGATGCTGACTCCGTAATAAAGACCTGAAAATAGGACAATCGAATTAATTCATAATCGCGTGACTGCTGGAAATGAAGCATCGAACGAAGTTAATTGAAGGCTTGCGAAATACTCCATTGTTATCTGGATATGATAAATTAATCGTCTAGCACGCTTCCAATTACCGAGTTTCTCATGGAATACGCTCGGCTAGGATGTTATAGGATGCTTTTGCCAGGAGTTAAACGCGATTCCGTTGCGTTTCACGTTGGCACCCGAGGACTTTCGAACGGGGCACCTGGGAATTTTCAATCAACGCGGTTACACCGTTGTCTCCATTGACGTTGCAAGCACCGTAAAATATTCCGGAGTTTCGCGCGGAATTCTGTATCAATTTTTTTTTACCTTATGCTTTGCCAACGATTCTCTAGAGGTGCAAATAAAGTCTTTCTCGCTGAAGGAAAAGCAAACCCTTTATTCCTTCAAGAGATAAAACAATGCCGGAGGGTAGAATTTTACGTTTCAACGAAGATGGATAACGATCTTGTCAGATTTCTTAAAAGTTATCCCAATAATTTATGTTCGAGCAAAAGACATTTTCAACTAGGCGAAGCTTTCACAAATTACCTTGAATGGAAGCGTATATTTGCCATAATAGACAAGCGAACGTGTTAATAAAGGTACTTACTTATCAGAGGGGTCTTCTCCGTGGGCGGCAGTGTCTCGCGAATAGTCATTAGGAAGACCGTCATAGAAAGAAGAGCAGATATCCCGAGGGTGACTTTCTCACCCGATTCCGAGGGCATGTAGAATACCAACAGGGCTGAACAAACGGAGAACGGATCGATTCAGAAAAAAAGAACTTCCCATAGAATATCGAACAGAAGGTATTCTCGGACCGGAGTACGAAAACTTTCGAGTCATGTCAACTAGGAGGACGAAGGAACTTTCGTATAAATCTTTTCCCATCGAACGCGTAAAACTCGAGTCTCTGTTTGTCAAGCAAATTTAATCGAGGACGTTTCCTCGAAGAAGAAAATCGCGATATACAGGGTGGTCGAAATACCCTTTTTATAATTCTCAAGCATTTTAATGAAATTTCCTCGCCCGGATACGATAAGGACACTTGACCCTCTTACGAAAGGTGATCGTAATTCTTCGAGGATATCCTTGCAGCTCGAGTATGCACGTTTAATTTCGTCCACAATAGGATACTCACCTGCACAGTTGATGAGTATACAAGGAAGTATCAAATTGAAGACGTAGAACATAGGCCTACGTCTCAGACGTATTTCGTAGGTGATATCTGGATACGGTTCCGGACAACAGGAATAATATTCGACGTTCCTTCTCGCGGAGAAATCGACCAAGTCAAATTCACCGTTCGCTTGGTAATTGCTCACGTCTCCTTGCTCGCTCTGCCTCTCCAATTCGAGCTGCGCAACATATTTCACACTTAGCATTCATCCTTCGACAATAACTCGCTTCAATTTAGAGAAATGTTTAGCGGAAACGCGACTTTGAACAATTGCACAACCCGAAGACAGATGTTATCGTTCCATTTCATGATTGACATTTTTAAATTAACCGTTCACGAGTTTCCTAACATAACTTCTGTCATAACGTTTCAAGTATTAATCGTGGAAAGGAAACGTAAAATATACAAGAAGTTCAGGATGTTAAAACGTCGCCTCGAATTAAATCCGGTGGAACGAAACACGATTACGTGTCAGCGTGTTTCGCTGAATCCTTGGACACGTTAGCAGACAGGGAAAACGAAGCGATACGAAAACCGTATTCGACGCGACGGCAAACGGAAAATTCTCATTGCTCCAGACTTTGCTCGTGGAAATAACGTGTCACTATTTTTTATTTCAGTTTTTAAATAACCTTTCTCCAGCATTTTAACATCGTAGAGGCATATAAAACGTATTCAACGACATAGGATAGGGAAAATGGGAAAACTCCGTGAAAAGGTGGGCTCGGAACTAGCATCGAAGTCTTCGCCTATGCGGGATTAAGCTGTTCGATTTACTCGAGCCATTTTCGCGAGCTGCCGCGTCGACATTTTCGATTTGCCATAGTTAAACGTGTCTGTAAAAAATCCGGTGTTTTCGTATCGCGATTACGCGCCTCTTCAACTAGAATTTGTCTTTGACGCGTTTACCTAAAGCTTCTAAAGCACAGAAGCCGATTTTTGATTTCTAAGGAATAAGATTACAAGACGTCTTCCAATCTTCGTTCACACGTGGAAACGCACGGTATACCGAGAGCAAGTTTTCGAATTAAACGTCGCCCACGTACTTGGTATCAACGTTATTCCGGAACTCGCGACATCCCCGGCAAACTTTGCGAATTTCTTGGAACATAAGTTATGCGAATTCGGGCCGCAACGGAATCTGTTGAAGGTTTAAGTACATCGCCTCGGAAGTCGAACACCCCGTTCCGAACCGCTCGTGTCTCAAAATCTAAACGTCGAATTATAATAGGATAAAAAGTTTCGACGGTGACGGAACGATCGTGGAACGTGAACCGATAATTTCCAGTTCCGATTTTTCAGTCTTTTGGTCAGCGGTTCGAGTTTCGTGGACTGAAAGAACGAGCTCGTAATCCGAAGAAGCCTTAAAATGTCCAGATTTTCGCTAAAAGAGCAGACACAATATAAGGATATCGGCTCGAACGGCAAATTTAATTTTTGCGGAAATGAAAGGGAAAGAGCTTGCTGTTTCTTTCAATGAAATTTATCGATTCGAACTTGATCGATAAATTTTCGCGACAAATTAGAATTGGAGAGTTGGAGAATTAATAACCGAAGGAATCGAAGATGTACGACGAGGAGGTTACATGGCAAGTTATAACGATCAATTATCGATTTTTACTACCGCGACGAGAGGATCGAGTCAATAGATGTTATTGAGCGCTTACGTGATTCAGGTGGTTGGCAAAGTGTTAAGTTTCAAGGTTTCGGTCAAACCAATATTTTTTATCCTCCACCAGATGGTCCTTCAACCGATATACCGCTTTCTCGTTTGCATATCGTCCCGAGAGAGGAACTGCGTGAAATTGAGGGCAATATAGCAGAGAATCCTCCGACTGATGTGGATCGCAATACGGTGTTCCTATTAAATCGCGTAACCAGACTTGTTCGTTAAATAACACGAACTTCCAACTCTCATACTTGAATTAGCATACGAGATTGTTTCGCGAAAGACGGCATCTGCGTGGACCGATAACGAACCTTGTAGTCGCGGAGAAAAAAGCGACAGAGTAATTTTCCGATCGATCATCATTTAAATATCTGTCCGACGAATTGGAATGTATTGAACGATGTACTGCTGGATGTCGCCAACGATTTCGATCGAGTTAATTGCACGGAAAATTGCATGCACCTTCTATAGCTCTGCCGAAATTTGCAGGGCATGCAATCGTTTTGCTACGAATATTTTTCAAGAATCTTTACGGGGGAACAAAAATTGACGTTTAACCTTGTGGAACGTAATCGTAAAGGACACTACGGTGGAATATAATTGTTTGCTTTATAAGGCGACGATTTTGGACGAAAGCGAGATTGAAGTTTACCTGATAGCCATCGTACGTCCAGGATGCCCATTTCAGGACACAGCGCTGTTCGTCGAAAGGAAAAAACTCTACGTCTATATCGCAGCTGCTGCGAAATATTCCGTGGCTTAGCCACACTACTTCTCCCGTGTGACTGACGATCACGTTCGTGTTGATAACTGCCGAACTGTATTGCGGGTCCGCGCTGAAAGATAACATTGAATGGTAGATACCCCGATAGGAAAGAGAAATCTCTGCTGCAGCTAATCGATACGGAACATCCTGCTTTGCGATATTTTGAATAACCGTGCGGAGGAGGAAGATAACGCTGAGATTTTCGAATCGTAAGAACCGTGTATTATGCAAAATATATATTACGAGCGATATATCATGGAAAGGTACTTTTCTGCGCGAAAAACGGTGACTTACTTGTTGTAGAGAATCGTGTCCGGTCTCCAAACGCGATTGTATGGTACGCGAATCACTCGAATTCCAGCGAATTCCGAAGCGTTCCATTTGAGATGGTGGTCCGTCCAGACCTGCGTCACCCAGCAGTTCGTCGTAAGTATTTGGTTCTTCTCGTCCTGCGATGGAAAGCAAAGTGGAACTTTTTTCCTTTGCAAGGACCACCCTCCTCTTTGATCGCATTCGAACGCGATCGTTCGTGAAATTCGTGCACGAATAAACTTGTTATTAAACACAGAATTTTCGACGAATTTCAACGATACGGGATTGTGCATTGCAGCTCTTAAAGACACAGTTCGATAAATATCGGGGCCGTTTCGTGATACAGCGAGATACGCCATAACGAAAGCGATTGGTTCTGGAGCCTCGATCTTTTCAAACCCCATGCACGTAATGAGGGGTAATCTGTACCGGAGGAAATAATCTGAACGAGTTGTAAAAACTGCCATGAAACAGCGAATTGCTAGTTGTTCTACAAGAACCTCGTTACGGGTTCTTTTCACGAGTTAGAAAATGAAATCCGGGTCAAGTCTACTTGGACGTGTATTAACTTGTACAGAAATATCGTTACTGCTTGATACGGTAACGTTTAGCCCGGCAAATATTGATTTATATGTATTACGATGTATTTATTTCCATTTTCGCGAGAACCGAGCGCTGACAGGAAGTTAGCTCGAAGGGAAAACAAAGATTCCCCTGGGACGACGCATCGTTTGGTAACTGAAAATACCTAAGACAAATGACTGCTGACTGGAAGTACACATGAACTCTACGAGAAATTCCAAAGATTTATCTACCGCGACATCATTTTTCATGGTTTCGATATAAAAGCACAATAGAAACTTTCTAATACCTCGTTTCTATATTTAATTCCAATAGATAGATGGAATAAAGCGATTAAACTTATAATATATAGTGGTAGAAGTTTGTAGCCCGTTTGCAAGCCATCGAGTACTCACAACATCGATTATGTGATGAAGAGAAAGTCCAAAGACGACCGCCAAGGGTTGAGAAGAATTTTTAGCTGGTCGCACACCAGCGTCGTATCCATCGAGCAGATACTTTGTCAGTCTGTACTCGTGTTCATCTCCGAAACCTGTAAACCCAGTGTACATATAACTCTCTCTCAAAAAAACTTCCAAGCTCCGCTGATTAGCTAGAAAAAGGAAGTCGAAAATCCTTTGATAGGTTGTATCTCGAAAAGGAAGCTGTGCATCGCAGAACGGTAAAGGACTTTTCGACTTCTTTTTCCACGAACGATCTAGACCGCAGACGACGATAATCGTTAACATTATTAATCCAGAATCAAGCCGCGTTAAACCGTGTCAAACTAGGTTACGTTTCAATTCTATCATGTCTGCTCGTTTCCTCTAATCACAAATCTAATTCCTTTCGTTACATCAAGAGTATCCATTGTGGCGTTTCCAGACCGTAGGTAGAAGCGTTCGTCCCATTGAAGCGGGTATTGTATCTTGAAACGCGAGGAAGCCCTCTCGTCGACTAATCTTCCTTCGATTCCGTCTTCTCAAAGCTTACCAGGCGTTGTCGCCAAACCTCAATTAGATAAAGCATCTCTTGGCTGAGACGCATTGTTTAAAAAGATGGTGTAACAGCCGGATTAAAATTTCATCTGTTAATTGAACGCGTACGAGCAAAAGTTAATGTACATGGACGAAGAAACTTCCTCCATTGATCGGAGAGTTTAGATTCGATATCGTTAAACTTTGAAGGTAGGAGAATTTTTGCTAGGCTACTAAATTTAAATTGGAAGGCTTGAATCAAATTAAACATTTGAGAAGCTAATTGATTTTATAAACTGCTTGCAAATAACTTACTTCGTTAATAGTTAATTGATTCGAGTTTGATCGAGATAACGAAAACCCCGAAGAACTCGAAGGACCTCCAAATTTTCCCCCCAACCCTTTTTAATTCCGATCGTTAAATCTACGTCACATAGTGATATAGGTAGGTAGTCACCTCCATACGTGGAGGCGTTTCACTTTTCTGAATCGTTTAACGGATAACCTTACAAGTGATTCCGATATCCCCCCGAAAAAGAGTTATCGGAAAATACTGCTGATCCACGAGCAGACAGATTCGACGGTTTACTCGAAAACATTGGTTTATCGCGTTTTAATGGCCTCGTAGAAGAGGCAAATTTATTAGATGAGTTAATCAAGCGAAAACACAAGGGATCTATTTTTATCGAGCAAATTTCGTTATTAATCTTTAAGGACTTTACCTGTTTTGCGAATGCCGATAATTTATAACGAGATTGATCGCGTCGAGGGGAACGCATTTAGAATAACATTTCAGTGACATTTAACCGATCAAACGAGAGAAAAATAAATGAGAATAAGAAGCTCATTCGCGAAGAAGTACGATTACATGGTCGAGCAAACATACGTACTATATTCCGAGTACCTCTTATCCGAATGACAAATTAATTCCTAACAGACTAAAATCGATTTGAACATTTATGGGAAGAGCTTTAAAGCTCCTCCTTTCTCGCTCGCAAAAAATTCTATTCAGCGCAACGTTGTTTGCCAGCAGTGCGTAATAAATTCAAGCTTTCAAAACAATCGGTGTGTAAACTTTTTCAACGCTAAAATTCGTGGGTTTTTCGTTTTTCCATCGTGTTTACGAGGTGCACTTCGCTTTCCCGTTAGCGGAAAAAAGATGACGGCTGTAGAAAAGCTTATTAACTTATTATCTCACCGCGTTCTATAAATTTTTACGGGATTGTCCCGAATCGGACTTCGTTTCGAGGCGGACAATTTGATGTGCAACGATAAAAGTGGTTACCTTGTTTGGATTCTTAGCAAAGACGAGCGGCAAACTTCGTTATCGAACGTTTGCGTTAGCCTTTCGTGTAAACGTCGAAGGGCCGTTTCACCCCTCTCGCCACTAATTCGCGATCGGAACATCGTCGAAATTTGCATACTCACCCCCGTAGAAATTCGCCAAGCGGTTCGTAGATCGATCTATTTGTTTACCTCGCCACGAATGCGATCAATGAAGGATCAAATTATGATTCGATAAAACTTGTTTCACTTCGAGGTAGAACTACGTTTAGAAGATTTCCAGCGCAGCACGCTCGAGAGCTTCTCGATCGAACGGAAGCGTAAGGAAGAAATATTCGGAAGAAACGAACATAAGGATATGCTTTCGGTCCCACGAAGGATTTCGCGGTATCTCGTTACAAATTCGACTTCGATTTAGCGCAGCAAAACCCGGGACTCTATTTCGCGGTTGAAGAGCTTTTTCGATAGCTCTCTCTCTCTCGCAGTCGGAACGGATAAAAGAGACGGCTGGTTGGTGCTTCGCAAGAATGAAGAGCTTGGCGTTGTACATTTTCCACGTTTTGTAGGATCGTATCGATGCGGAGCTTTCCAACATTGCATCCTGGATTTGCACGGTAATTCATGGACACTCCAGGCTCGCGTGGTATCAAACAGAATCGTCGAGTGTCCAAGCTTTATCGGGTTTCCGCTCTTCCCTCTACTCTCCCTTTCCTCTTTGTTGCCATGTTCCCTGGCTATTTCGAATTTATACGCAGGAAGATTCGGTCTCTTTCGATTCGACATTTTTTCGTTAACCAGACAAACATTTTAATATATTTTATTCCGTTTGCTTCGTCATTATTTTCGCTAACCTCGATTTGTAGCGGTATTTATAGCTCGTTCCAGCATTTCCCACAATGCAAACGCCTCGATAATTCTTCGCGATGAACATCTTTGAGCCATTTGTTCTCGAGGAAAGAAATTAAAGTACTCCGCAAGCTGTATTCTCTTCTCCAACTTCTCCGCTGGCTATTTGCATTCTAACGAGAATGTATTCCCTCTGTTTCGTCAACATCAGCGCACTCTAATCGAACACGGAAATCTCGAAGAATGCGTTTGAAAGTTTTGCGAGAAAAAATCCTGTCGTGGAACTTTGCAATCTCGAAACCTTCCAAAATGAATGTTCAAGTTGCAACACGAAAAAAAGCGTTCGTCCAAGTTGCGGTCAAGTTCTTCGAGTACTGGCGGGAAAATGTTGGAAGAAATTGATTTACAACTCGATCGAAGTTCATGAAATTCCAACTGGGGAAATCCTGTCGAACGAGTAATTCAGTTATCGAGGAGACAGAAGAAATTGCCCTTAATCACTAGGCAGTTCGTTCTTAATCAGCATTTTCCTTTCGATCTGCTATCGAGATTCAATCTTGTATGCAAAATGATTATACCATCTTTTATGGCAAAAATGAAACGAGAAGATAACGTTTCCTTATAACGAATTTTCATATTCCCTCGCTGCGAGAGATTTAGTCGGGAAAGAGACCTGCAATCTTATTTAATCCTTCTTCGGATTATGGAGGCTGTTAATATAATGCATGTTAATGTAATTACTTAAAAACTCGCGTAATCCTCTATTATCTTACGAAAGTTTTAAACGTTGCAAGGTAAATACCTTTATACTTGCTTGAAACAAATAACGACGCCGACAAACCATCCATCTGAATCAAGATTAATCAGATTCAACGTTCGGGAAGAAAATGAAAAGGAATTAACTGTAAACATCGTTTGATTTTTCACTCGTTAAATAGCTTCCTTAATGAAAGAAAATTACGGATTAATTTATGCATTGCTCGTTGAGAGATGTTCATAACTTTATCAAGCACAGGATATTGAAATGAAACGTGCAAGAAAATATTATAAAGTGGTTACCAAACAGTACGCCTTTCAAATATCTAGATAAAATTAAATTAATAAACAGACACGATTTAATAATCGCTCTTAAAACGAATAGGTTTAACAATTCGTCTAGTTTAAAAAACAAATGGATGGCACAGAACCCTCTTTGCGGTTTCTTTAATGCATCGCGGCAAACTCTTTTCATTAAAACTTTGAAATTTCGAATTTACGTTAAAGACGAGTCAACGCGTAATTAAAGTAGCGGTTAAGGATGAGCAAAGGCAAAAGCAACTTACCGTTTCCGAAAATAATGGCCAGAACTCCGTAATGAAAGAACAGGACCAAAGGCGACATGGAATTGATGGACCACTTAAACGCGAGACCGCCTGTCCTCGACTGATGTCCGTTGCTTTTCAACCACCGTGCAATTTCGACCCTGAATCCCGCGCTACCCCTACCAACGCGTCTCTTCTAAAGGAAATTCGCGCAGGCGTTTCAAACAATGCAGACACGAATGTTAAACAAACTGGCTGTTGTAGTTAGGTGATGTCTCTATACATCGTACTCGACCCTCCTCCATACCACCTATTGTCAAAATATTAAATAGATGCTCCCATCGTTGTACTTCGATTAATCTTCTTATTAAATAACGTAACGCGTGAAAGTTCGATCGAAAATCGATGATCTGATTTTTCCGTTCGAATCATTGGAGTGGATTGTAAAACGGTAAAAACTGCGAAATCGAAATAAGGCTTTCGATACTCCAAAACGGTAATTAAGCAGCATCGATCGCGCGTTATTCGATTAAAAAGTATTGCCTCGGCGCGCAAAGCTATTTAGATCGTGCAATTTCGAACGAGCTCGTTACATTGTTTTTCATTGATTTTCGTTTGTCATTCTTCCTAGCACGTTTTCCAAATTGACAAGTAAGCCTTTCGTGATCGCTGTTACCTACCCTTCGAAGGTAGAGCGCTCGATCACCGTGAGTTTCACGATTTCCGTCTGCGATGATATCGCGTGTAATTTGAATCGTCTGAAAAATGAACACCAAAAGAAGTCAGGATTTAGATCGTGACGGGATCGCGGTAATGGAATCTGCGCATTGTCCGAAATGTTCGACTTCGTTTAAATTTGTCAAGAAACCAAATCCTCTGATGGTACACTCTGATAAACCGGAGCCCAAGAAAATTCCTGGGAAACCGCTCGACTGCGGTTATGTGATGCAGATTGTTTCTATCGGAGTTCGAGCGGATAACGTTTACGAGGTTGATCATTAATTATAAATTAACCTCTTGCTTCGAACAATCGAGTTTTCTTATAAAACCAAATTCAAGCAACAGGTTATTAAACGGTCACTGAAATTAGTGTGTTATGTATGATTAAATTGCAGGCACGAATGTTGCTGGCACCAGAGGTGGATATGTCTTCCGTCAAAATAACGGTAAAAGGAAGTAATCTGCGAGTGAACGTGTGTAGACCACTGAATGACCTATTCATGAGTTATTTCCCAAAGATCATTGATAATTCGAGTGCTAGTGATATCATTAAAAGGACGATGAAGCACTGTGAGAACTTGCTCATACCGGATGGTATCGATAGCGCGAAAGTTCGAGCCGTGGTAGATAATAAGAATAGAATGCTCGTGCTTACGGCACCCGCATTGAAGCCTAGCAAAGTGAGAAAGAAATACATAGAGAAAAGTTGAAGTATTCTTTATCGTGACTCTTGCACGAAGCCATTTTACGATCGAAATTTCAAACTCGATAGAACAAAGGATGATCGGAGCTCGTTTCAAATAGTACAGTTGACTCGTGAAAATGATATGTGACAGACAAGATTTCCTATTCGTTTACACCTACTATGGATAAATTACCACCCCACTGTCAAGAAAACGCGATCACCATAAGGCAAAATGATTACATGAATTTTGAAACGATGACGAATGGATTTAAGACGAGTTTGAAGTTCGATAGAGTTCCTAACTTCTACATCATCGACAACAAGGAACTTTACGCTGTACGTATCCGATGTAAAATTTTGTTACTTTGGTAACTTCGATAATGAATTCGATGTACGGTTATAGGCAGACATGAAGATAGAGGGATTGAAAGTGGGAACCGCGACTCTAGCGACTGAAGATGTCCTGAATATAAAATTGCATAGCGCGGAGGATTGGTCGCACATCAGGAACTTGAATTTTTTAATACCGGCTGAAGCGAACGCGAAAAAAGTCTCGATTGAAATATTTAATAACACAATTTTTATGAGAGCACCGCTTAAAAAGAAACATGCATGATACGTATACTTATCATCACGTATTATTAATATCGCATCGAAGGTAGGAAATGTAACCAAAAGATCAATTACAAAACTATCATCATCCAATTGTCTTCCCATATTTATTCAAAACAAATAAAGTTCATGGGTCAACAACGAATTGTTGGTAAAAAGTTACTTTGCGGGTGTAGATTTTGCTGCTGCAGATTCTGCCTCTGCAGGTTTCGGTGTCGCAGATTTTGCTGCCGCAGGTTTCTTCGATGCCGCAGATTTCGGTGCCGCAGACTTCGCTGCAGCTTTTTTAGTTGTTTTAGTCGGTTTTTCGATCTTAGCCGCAGTAGATGCTGCTGCCTTCTTCGCAGTTTTCACCTTAGGTTTAGCTGCTCTTGCAGCTAAGATCTGCTGCTGGCGTCTGCCGGTAACCTTCGGAAGCTCGATCTGCATAGAAATCATGCTTCGTAAAATCTTTTTAAAATGTACTATCAAACATTGGGAAACTAAACTTACTCCACGCTTCTCGGCCAAGATAAGTTCCTTCTCCTTTTGGCGTTTCCTTGCGGTCAGAATTGCTGCGCGTTTCAGGACAGCGGCGTATGGATTGAGACGCAACATCGCACGAGTATTGCTCAATGGATTCAACTTCTTCACTCTGCGAACCACCTTCTTCCTGCAATTATAAAATTTATCTTCAACGTGTATATATCGCAAAAAATAATTGCAAAACGTCTATGAAAGCAAGAGCTCAGTTATGGTTAAGGATATCTATCACTGTCGATCCGCAACACGGACCAAATATCATCATGTCTTGTGCAGCGTATGATCTAAAATATACGGCAGGTTTATGTACCTTGGTGCTCTCAAAACTTTGCGGATTTCATCAGCCTTCAGAAGTCTTGCCAAGTCTGTGTTGGCCATTTTGGGGAAAGGTAAGTTGTAGTCAGCCTTCAGCTGGGATTCTTTGCGCCAGGTTCCGTACAGTGCATCCAACTTTTCGAAAGCAGATTTTGTCCAAATTACGAAACGTCCAATATGACCACCAGGCGCTAACTTCAGAAGATTCATCTTATTGATGTTCATAAGATCAATGCCGGGAATGTTACGGAACGCCTTGCGAATACCCTGTAAACAGTTAAAAAAAAATGTTATAAAACTCGGGAAGATAATTTCTTACACATATATGTACCTGATCTTGACCATAAATGATCAAAGGACCTCGACGTTGGATACGCCTGCGGTTACGCATTTTACCCTTACCAGCACGGAAACGTTGCGATTTGTATACCTACAATTAAAACGAAACGATTTCATTCGTTAGATCAATTTTTTAATGTATTAATGAAGTGTTTGGCTACTATTACCCCTGCCAAGCAACATTGCTAGTCAAGAACGCCTAGTAACCGTATTTATTTAGCACCCAATTGGAGCATCTCAATTACACTGGTTATAATAAAGACGCGGACATTATAAGGTGCAAAGTGAAAGCAGAAACATGCTTACTTTTTGGATATCATTCCATGCCTTGATACGTCTTAAAAAGATAACAGCTTGCTTAGTTTTACTGTACTCCTGAATTTTGTCTGACACAACCAAAGGAAATTCTGGAACTTCTTGTACCATATGACCTGAATATAAGAAAAGACTAATTATGAACTTGCCTACAGCAAAATTAAAAAAATGATAATTATACATCTCCTCAGTGGTATGGTATGTATAATATAATCACTGTTAAATCAGCAACACGGACCAAAAAAGTGGTCATCATGAAAATGTTTTATCGATTACTTGCTGAACTTTGTGTCATGTTAATTACCTTTAGACTGTACCAGAGCTGGCACACCGGATGCAGCAATGGCAGAAACCAGAGCATATCTTTTCTGGTTAACATTAATTTTGCGATGCCAACGTCTCCATGGCTTGGTTGGGGCAAACATGCGTCCTCCTCTACACATGTTACCAAATGCACCCTGACCAGAACGGTGAGTACCACCACCACGTACACGGGGAATACGTGCTACAGCACGTCCAGTTCCCCATGATTCGGCAGAAGTTTGATGACCTAGCAAAAGAAACCTATATTTAATAATTCTAATATTAGTTCTTCAAAAAATAAAGAAAAGAATATAAAGTCGCCCGGAATATTCGATTCTTAGGTTGAATAATGTACAGATTTATATTTACCAGCCTCTTTAGACACACAATATGGTTGTCTACTATTCTTTGAAACTTGTTGATGAACAAAGTTCACGATATCTGGCCGAATTGGTGCTTTGAACACAGCAGGCAGCGAAATTGTTTCGCCAGACGACTCATTTTTATCGGTATAGACCGTAACAAGCGGTCGCGCCGTTGATAACGACTGTAAAACAAATAAAAACAAAATGTTAAGACATACGATTTTATAACATTTGGCAAAAATAAGCTCAATTGTTGAAAGCTGAAATAAATCTATTGTTCTGACACGACTATAAATGATTTACATTCATACGGCACATGGCGGACAAGCGCATCCTCGTCAAGATATTCGTACAAACATTATTATATATTTATTTGTGCATATGTGAATATAAACATAATTATACTTGATAATAAAAAAAAGTTATTTGAAGTAAGAAATAGTAAATAAACAGACTCTAGGTTAAATAATACCGTATATTATAAATTATTCCACGTGGTCAAACTATGCGATGAGTAGCGTTCACTATTCAGCGTGAAATTTTTACGAACTCCGAGGTATTTAAATGTTGTTAAAATTGTTAAGTACAAAACTGCGATGAACTTTGAACGAATTTCAATAATTCTTACCATCTTACGTTTAGTTTACAACTTTTTAGGCATCAGACATAAACTGACCAGGCAACTCACACGCCTTACCTGGTCGTAAAGGAAGAAGAACGCGAGCGGAAATTACACAGCAAACGTTGCGCATGCTCAGAGTTAACTGCCTATTAAGCACCGTTTACAATTATTATTATTATTTATATAAAAGTTTGTACAACATAAAACAAGTAGTCCTTTATAAAATGTTTCTTGCTGCTTATAATTGGATTCATCACATTTCGTGGTAAAAAATGTTGGATTTTATAAATTGTAATTTTTTCTACTTGACATCAATGATGGCGTAGTTCCATGGGAAATTTTATGTATGCATTGGTAGTTACAACAGAAATGTTTGTGATATTGAAAACTAGGTTCAACCGAAAATATATTTAGATTTGAACTTTATTGAATAATTACAGTTGTCAAATTTTAGGATAGGGAAAGGAATTTTTTCTTAAATGGCAGGAGAAGTTATTGTTGATGCATTACCATATATTGATCAAGGATATGATGAACCTGGAGTTAGAGAAGCGGTAAGTAAATTTTGTGGACTAATTCGTGAAAAAGCATTTCGAGGTTATATTGTTTATATTTTTATTTAATTGTGTATAATGTTTGTGTCGATTAATAAATATTTCAGGCTCTGGCGATGGTTGAGGAGGAAACGCGGCGGTATAGGCCAACCAAAAATTATTTAGAACATTTGCCACCATTAAATATAACAGCTTTTGAAACAGATGTAATGAAACATGAATTTGAGAGAATGCAAAATCGTTTACCAATGGAAGTACTTAGTATGAAACGGTATGAGCTACCTCCACCTCCTCCAGGAAAAATGAATGATCTTGCTGCATGGAATGAAAGTGTAGAAAACAGCAGTGCTCAATTGGAACATCAAGCAACAAGGTATCTGATTCTAAAGATATATTTTTTTTATATTCTTGCATAGTATTTACATATATTTTTTTTACTATGTATCATCATATCAGAATTTGTAATCTTGAATTGATGATGGAATATGGATGCGAAGCATGGAAATCATATTTAGAGATATTAGTGCAGTTAGTAAGTCAAGCACAAAAGCAACTACAAGCATTAAGGAAAAAGATCCAAGAAGTTAATTGGCAAAGAAAATCAATGCAAACTCAAGGAGGAGAAAAATTGAGAGCATTGGAAGCACAATGGGTTGGATTAGTGTCAAAAAATTATGAAATTGAACAAGCATGTGTTCATTTGGAAGAGGAAATACAGAAGTCAATGGTAAATAAAGGAGAAGGAATGGAGATTAGTGATGTACCAGGTGAGGAGGAACCAGATGTTCCTGGGAAAAGTGCTACAGAAGTTATGGCATCAGAAATGGATCAACAGGAACAGCAAGAAAATCAAGAAATGTGAAGCTTATACAATATAACATTTAAATTATGTACATACAGTTATAAATAACAATTTTTATATTATTATTTAAATATAAGTGTATATAAAATTGTTTCTGAAAAATTCTTGTCGCCTATCCTACTGAAAATATTACTATTTGTTTTAATAATACAAAACATGTGTACATGGATATTCCAAAAGTAGCGGTGAAGTTTCTGAGCACAGTCTATGAACTTTTATGATTAAAGGATGGTCAGCAATGCATTATTTACATGGTTCGATCATAAAAGTTCGTAAATAATGTTCGGGTAATGAGTAATTAATTATTTGGCGTCAGCATTGCGATACGTACATGAGCCGCCTGTCAATTCTACTGTGCATGTAAAGTGCAATATTTCGGCACTTTGACGACGTAGTATGGTTCCTGAGGTATTTAGGAACAAATTTCTATTAGGGTTTGATGCGTTTTGATGCCTAATAAAGCCAGGAAATCAATTTTTGTCGAATTCGGTCCAAAACGGTACAGGTGGCGCCATCTAGCGGCAAGCGACGGAACTACGAAAAACTAAAATCCCGATTTTCTCGAAAACTAAGCACTTTTCCGAAATTCTGAGATATACAAATTGCTCCTTGTAGCCTCAGGAATCGAACGAATATAATTATAGCCTGCTAGGACCATTATTAAAGAAAATAGAAAAATAGCCCATTTCATGGACTAAAAAATTGCCGTCCATCTAGCGGTGAAAGTTGGAACTACAAAAATAGAAAATCTGGATTTTCTCGAAAAGTAGGGACTTTTCCGAAATTCTGAGATATACAAATTGCTCCTTGTAGCCTCAGGAATCGAACGAATATAATTATAGCCTGCTAGGACCATTATTAAAGAAAATAGAAAAATAGCCCATTTCATGGACTAAAAAATTGCCGTCCATCTAGCGGTGAAAGTTGGAACTACAAAAAT